TCGAAAAACGTCCAATAATTATAACCAAAAAAAATGTGACCTTGTTCTGAGAATCATAAAATGAATCGCATAACAGTACAGTATTAAGATTGTATGAATGTACAAATGAGTTACAATATTAAGAATACTAGAGCGCCGACTCCACAGGCGCAATCTTTTATACTGCCAGCAACATAACACAACAAACATACACGTTATCGTCTAGGTGTATCTTCCCCTAACTACCAGCCGTTATGTCAGTGTATAGCAATGAAGTCAAAATGCTAGAATGACACCCTGGTTTAGACAAGTATAATCGTTCCTAGCGCTCTCAGAAATACCCTGAGACGAGTATATACGGTATTCGACACTGGAGCGCGCACATGTTCAAAAATGGGGAGAAAGGAGCAGGAAATTAAAAAGCGAAAAGCTGTTGCAAAATCTTGCCAAACATTGGATGGCTGGGTCAACAAAAAAATACTGTGAAGATAGGAATGAATGCCTACCACCCGATTTAGAAGAACAGTATGCGAACCAAAAGAAAAATGAAACCCAGACCACGGTTGTCCTGAAGGTATAGATTGATTTTAATATGTTGTCCTTTGACTTTGTCAACCCACGAACTATAGAAATAGAAATAGGCCTATATTAAAGATAATTATTTAGCCTGTTGAAAATCATTTATAAAATACTCGTATCATGATGATCCTTTTATACAGTATTCCCCGTCACGAGTTCAATGGATAGATAGCGTATACATACAGTATAATTATGCTTATACTGTATATGTTTTCTTTCGATGCCAAGAATAAAAATGTTGATTAATTTGTTTCAAATGCTTTGAATCAGCTCATTTACAGTCGCTTTTAATCCACTCTTTATATCAAACTTTGTTATTATTCATTTAAAAGCAGAATTAATTTTGAATTTTTATTCGTATATGGTTACGAATTTATACAGTAGTATTTTTCATTTGGGAAACAATTTGCTTGTTTCTCCATGTCCTCCACTGGTAATTCTTTGATAGGCCCTATCGCTGTGTTCACGGACATATAGAGATTAACATGATAAAATGCTTTCAAATTAGTCTACTAGGACGTAAAAAAGCAAATTTTTCTGGGGCCGTCCACGGCCCCCTGGCCCCCAGCCTGGTTGCCCGCTGTGCTCGCAAAACGCACCCCCCCATTCAACAAGCTGGATACCGGCCTGGGCCAGACACTTTTCAAATAAACCCTATGTGCTCCAGTATAGATGTTTCAAAATGCTTGACCACATAGAGACTGGTACTTGGAAATCAAGTAATTCTGCCCATGGTTAAACTGTTAAAAGCTTGCTCCCTTTCCAAACATTAATTTAAAATCACAACACAAACACTGTTTTGGCCTTATCCTCATCATAAGCTATTTTTGTGATCATCAAGAAGCTTCTCTAGAAAAATTTTAAACCTGGAAGGGTAGCTTGCTTCATCTGGTGGTGGTGATAAATTTGCATCTCTCAAAGATTTCAAAATCTCTTGTCTTGCTTGGTTAAGCTTCTCGGATTGCATTTTCATCTCAGATTTTTCCATTCCAGTTTCTAAAGATCAAAGTCAGTACATCATTAATTTATTCAAAACATCATAAGCACAATCAGAAGCTAGAGGTAATTTACTGTATACATGTGCTGAATTTACAGAGATGATCAGTGGATCGCCAGTTCAATTACATCAGTCGCAAATAGCGATAAAATCGTTTCATCAACCGAGAGAAATGTGTGCCAATCTATGCTTTAGATTCCACAAAATAAATTTTCAAGTTCTAGAATGCTACAAATTTCTTCTTAGAGCAGAAAATTTTATAGAAAACACTTTAAAGTGGCCAAAAGAGTTAAAAAAAAACAAACAAAAAAACAAGAATACATTGCATAAAAAAATGTGGAATATGCTATAAATATAAACAAATAGGTAAACATTAATAACAGTGTAATTTTTAAAACTTCTTTAATGAATATTAATTTTTACTTAATGTGGAAATTTTCGGCAGACACTTTTGCTTTCTTCAGCCAAATGTTGTTGGCTCCTAGTAGTCCCCAAAGACAAAACCAAGATGAAAGATATCACGGTTTAACCAGCCTACCTTGAACCGAAGCGGGGGAAGGTACAAACCCTCTAACACCTGGAATGCCGTTTTACGGTCGTGTGTACCAAGTGTCAGACTGTGGAACAAAACAGCAACCATTTAACAACAGTTGGATGAAGAAGGAAGAAGTGTCTGCCGAAAATTTCCACAGTAAGGGAAAATTATGTTGCAAGAAAATTACATCTTACACAAACACACAGATGAATTATTACCAATAATAACAGTGCTCGAATATGAACAACATAGCTCTTCAACAAAAGTTTCTTTTCCAGTTGTGCCTCTGGTGGGATTCGAACCTGCAGTCTCTTACTATCAAGGAGAGTATCATATTCATTAGACCACAGAGACGTATATGTGCAGATCTAATCCCCAGGCACTCTCATACAACTGACTGAAAAATTCACACATATAGTGGAGCTATGGCTAAGCTATAGGTTATAGGTCGCAGCTTGGAAATCATAGTAAACAATCTTCAAATTAGGTTTGCACCTGAATAAAAGAACTTTTCGTTGAAGGGCTATGCTTGATACAATATAATATCTTGTTCCTTTTTGAGCACTGTTATTATTATTTATCTATTTATACTTTGCTTACGGTGCTACGCAGCAAACCTAATTTGAATGCCATAAATAGTTTTCTCAGTGGATTGAGTAATCGTTGGAATTTTCAGCTAATCCTCAAATACTCCTCAGCAAATGCTCACCTTTACTCAACTTCATCCTCTCGGTAATCAATCGTCTCAAGATTTGATCTCCTTGGTGAATCAGGCTTCTTAAGCAACTTTGTCGGCTTTGCTCCTATGCAACAGAAATAAATTTTTTATTTTTCAATTTTTAATCATTAGGTTATTCACCAATTTAGAACAACTTAACGAAAAGGTCGCCTAAAAAAATACTGCATAGCTTAATGAAAAACAGGGGTGTTTGATTTGGTGTCTGATGTAAGGTATCGCTATTCTAGGCCTAAATTCATTACAAAATATTGATTAGGGGTTATTTTTATTCAGTCTGATGAATACCTTTTGAAAAACAAATAATTAGACAGGCTTAATTGCAAGCATTGCAATTCAATATGTTAATTTTGGTAAAAGGAGAAAAAAAGAAAAATTTGTTTGCACCTTCAAACACCTTTTTTAGGCCTAATATTTTGTGCTGTTTATAATTTTACCTCAGATAGTATCATTGTCACATTATGTCACCAACTGTTTACTTGTGATCAGTGGTCACATCAGTGAGGGAAGGGGGAATTTTCCCTGTCAGACAAGCCTGCCTCCCTCCCCCACCCTGTTATCCCACGCTACAACGAAGTCGTCGAATCACAAAGGCTTGGAAGGCTTGGCCTACTAAGCTCGGCCTAGCCTAGTTGGGCCTGGTCTACTTTAGCAAATTCTTTATATTCTTTGAATCTATCAAATGTTGCATTAAACTAAAGCATATTTTGGACGGCCTATTTTGTTTTTCTGGCTAAACCCCTGATCACATGGCACTTGAGATTATGACCGTGACATACAATACTCTATGAGGTATTCTCTAAAAATGTTTTCCTTGCTTTCCACGACGTACACTTGGCCGTTATTTATTAATTTTCATTATAAATGATATGTTTTTAAAAATCAGTAATTCTACTGCATCACCATATTGAATATATTCATACATCATTCAGGGTATTTGATGCGTAATAAAGAACAAAAACATGTGTTTACTACACATGCTATTTTTAAAAGATAACCTGATAGAACGTTCATACACAACAGTACATTACAGCTGTATACAGTACTCTGACATTGGACACTCGTGAGATCTTGTTCAATGATATACATTTAAACAAGCTTTAAGGTTAAGACATTCATTTATTTTTATGATTTTAGTAATTGATTGCTTGATTCATTATCCTGGCAAACAAACTAATTGCATTTTTTTAATTTTTTTTTTTTATAATCTTTTGTTTTATTAAAGTATTCCTATGATGTATTTTTAAACATCTATCAATTGTTATGTTTATATGACACCATTCATTTAGAGTGAATGATTAAACATTTATAATCATGAATATTTTAAAATCTTCCAGGAAATAAAATTTGAGTACAGACCTTTTGTTGCTGATCTTCCACTATCATTGGTTGAACTGGGTAATCCAAGGCTTTACATAACAATGCTGATACAGAAATCCTAAAATGATATAAAAATAATTAAGATATCATAGAGTATTTAATACAGGCTCGTACGCAGTGGGGGTGTGACGGATGCGTACCCACCTCCCCCCCCCCAAATTACAAAAGGTCCACATTTCCCGGCGTAGAAAATTCAAGACACACTCTCACATGCTCCAAAAATCCATCCTCCAAAAATGCTTGACCAATCAGAGCAGTTTCCAACTAGGACTGCCTTTAATTTGTCGTACAAGCAAGGCCTTCTAATTGCACTTATAAGCTTTTTGAGTAATTTTAGAGTATTTTCCCGCCGTTGCGTGTCAATAACTCGCCACGTACAAAACTCATCTTCTCTCTCTATATAGGTTTCAACAGAATTATTTTTATTCTCGTTTAAGATTAAAAACAAAGTGATTTACTGCTTTCCCTACCCTGTTCCCAATCGGAATAGTATTAGGCTTTATGAATTATCAATTTTTTTATGTTTTGACGTCTACCCATCTCATCCACGACGTAAAGTGCTTGTCATTATTTGTTCATATTCGCAATGTTCATTAATTTAATTTATTTATAATATAACATTTACATTTGCGGTAAAAATTTAGTGTTTTCAATAACCAATAATATTATAGGTTTTTTCATTGTGTGCTAGACCTACTGTCTATTTATTTCTTTAATGTTTAAATTTAATAATGTTTTATTTACCTTGTTCTATAATTTTACATAGTCTATTGACACATGCAGTGAAAATCTGAAACACCATGTGGTTGGAAGCGGCACGTTTCACATCTAGGCTATGAGTATGTCCAATTTGTAGGAATTCATTTTACTCCGACCTCGACTTATTTACGATTCTTAAAATTTGAATCATATTAATGAACGTTAACCCGTAGTATAATTAATGACATTTCCACAGTGTTTTTAATTAGAACGATTTAATTTTGTATAGATCAGTTTCCTTAACATATCAAAGTTGATATTCATCGTTAAGCCATCAACATTTTAGATAGACTACAGAACATTTGAAAATAAGAACACTGAATAGTGTTGCTCTCAAAACCAGTGGCGGATTGTTTTTAACGCCCCCCCTCCCCCAACATTTGGTTCACTTTCCACAAATTTGCACCCACCCAATAACAATCCTAATCACAACACTAATCTCAGTAATAGAAATGCCAACAATATATTATTAACAATGATAATATTAACAATAGCAATAACAATAATCCATGAAAGATAACTTTTCTAACTTCCAAGCCATTAACAACAATAAAAACAACAATTAACAATAATAACAATATAAGAAATGCAGGCTCCAAAAATACTAAGAGAAGCCATAGTGATTCAATATTATGTTTTTTATTCAAACATCATCAGGAATGAAGATAATTTTGTCCATAGGGACCATACCAGAAATGAAATAACTTAACTATTACCAATCAATAGATAACCAACCAAATAAAAGAGAGAAACTGGTTAATTGACCAATCAAATCAAACAAGGTTTGACATTATTAAAGAATAAACAAAATGCCTTACAACTAAAACAACCTTATCCTTAATATGGATAAATAAATAAATTAAATGTTTAGGGCTAGTTGAACAATGCAAGTTCTTTGGATGCTTATAGTCCAGTATTTAGACATGGTTTGTAATGTCTAATAGCCAGGGCTTCTTTAAGGAAGGAGGTGGTGTGGAGGTCTGCAAGTAGTGTTTACATACTTGCAATTAGCAATTTGTTTATGTGCCATAAACCATATAGCACAGTAACAGCAGGGTAGCTAATTTACTAGGCAAGTTGACACCCCTAGTTGTGGGTATACAAGGAGGGTATGACCTGTCAAATTCCAGGTGTCCCAAGTTGAAAGAAGATAGTTCTGGGAGATCTGCAGTGGAAGTTCCAGACGAGAGAAAAGGGGCGTAGTCAGGCGTCGCTCAAAATGTTTCAAAAGTTATCCTGGGGGAAAAGCCCCCAAAAAATATGACAATAGGGGTATGAAAGGCTTGTTATCGATTTGTGGTTTTCTCCCTGATGGGGGACACCCCACACTTTCACAGATGAAGGGTCTAGAGAAAATTTATGATTATGGCACCTCTATATGGTGCCATAATCACGCCCACTTCACAAGACTCCCGCGAGTTCTGGGAGACTTTAGGACCCCTGAAATTCTCCAATGAAGATGTACTGTACCGCACTGAGCATAAACTATGCAACTTACCAGGTATCTTCAATCAATTCATTGGCAGCATCTATTTGAAGTGACATTTCTTCCCAGGAACCTTTACTGACATCTGGTGCTTCAAATCTTGTAGCCATGTTAATGATCGTATCGTCAGGAACTCTATTGTTTCGTGAGCTGTTTCTCTCAAGTGCAACATCCACAGAACAATGCATATGAATTTGACAGAAAGCAATATTATCTGCAAGAAAAAAATTTGTTAGGATTGATTGAATAAATAAAATTTTGTCCCAGATTCACACAAGACAAAAAGTTATAAGAAAAGTGTATTAGGAAAAATTTAACAAGTGTCTCCTGCTATTGTGTCTATATGGAGGCGTGGCATCTGGGTGCAATACCTCGTTTCTACTACCACAGAAAACTGTTCTTAAAAAGAACGATTCTTAAGAACATGGTTCTTTCTCGTCAGTAGAAACAGGCCCTTTGTAGTTATGTTGAGATTTGACCGAAAAATGGGAATGCACACCTTATAAACTTTATTTCACTATTGCAATAATGCATGAGTCTCACGGATGAGCATCCCTTTTTTACGTCTCACGCCTACGTTGTATTATCTCACACATCATAAAATAAAATGTATAGGCCGGTTATACCCTAAAATTCATAAAGTGAATACATCATTAAAATGTTGAAATACAGGCCATATAAATTTCTTTCAACGAAGCTATACAGACAACTGTAACTATCAGTTTGACCACTACAATTTTGTTTAAATAAACAGAGGGTGCTATATAACATTTTTATTTTTTGTATCAAGAAGTACGTTTAATATGACATTTAAAAAATAGCACATGTCCCATGTAAGATTTTTTGAATCGAATATTAGTATCATTAAATATTTATATGCTCTTAATTTATTAAAAGGTAAATTATTATCAAAGAAATTATTAATTTTTATCATAAACTATACTTACATTTCCTACATATCTGAAAATATTGATATCTCATGCTTCTGTAGTAGAAATTATCATCCATAACAAACACAAAATCAATATCTTCAAAATCATTTTTCTTTCCGAATTCTCTTGTCTTGTTTTTGTCTCCTTCTCTACTGACTGTGTTACCACATTCATTCTGGTCCAAGTACTTCAACAAACTTGACTTAAAAGCTGTTTTAATTATTTCTTCAACATGTTTAGAAATGCTTGTTGCTTCATGTTCTTGCTCTGGTAATTCGTAAAAATGTGATATATCTCCGTTTATAACTTTAGATATGATGTCATCGATTGTTTTTACTATCTGCAATCTATATGCCTTCCAAATCCCATAATCCTTTGTTATCTGATGGATAAAAATTGAAAAAGGCAATGCAACCTACAGTATGTCTAATGACCATAAACATTTTTTGTACGAGGTGCTCAAGATTCCTCAAAAAGAATATGCATATACTCAAATAAATGCTCTAATTTCACTGTAAATGTGGAACTACAACATACGTAGTCAAAATGTGTTAATGCATGATTATAAAGATTGATCCCACCCAGGTTAGGCAAGACTTCTTTATACTGTTTTATAGTCAAATAATGATGATTTTGAATAAAAATACAATTTTATTTTTGGTCAATTAGCGTACCCGCTGCCATGAAAAAATGGAAATTTCAGAAAAAAAATAAGTATTTTTTTTTATTACGCCCTCTGCTGCCTTGAAATCTCAAAAATGTTATTTTTAAAGTTTCTCCTCCCTCTCGATGTTTTGACAAAACCATTTTCTAAATAAGAAAACAAAACTTTTTTTCTGCCCACCTCTGATGATCTTTAAAAAAATAAGTTCGTGAAACAAGGAATAAAAGAAGTCTAGCCTAAGCTTTGAAAAAATGTAATTCTACTGGAGTACAATAGAATGTGTTGAGAATGAAATTGCTTCCATAAGAATTTGTTCAATTCCATTGACCTCTTGCTGTCTTTCCTACTAATAAGAGACAAACAAAAACGCATACAGCTGCAGAACTATAGAGAACTACCCCCTAGTTGTTGAATGCCTGAGTAGTGCGTGGTGCACAGAACAACCATAAAATCTGATATTCAACGGTAAAAACACGTACATTGGACTATCAGGCAGAACATTTAATCAATGATTTAAATTCAAAGACATCAAATTATATTCACTATATTTTAATTAAATTGATGATCATGTTCTTTAAACATTGCAATAAATATATGCAAAGTACACGGGCAATACAGCAATGGAAATGGCTCATTAACCCATCTATTTGTATCTAGATGGATACTGACTTTGGACACCACTGGGATACATCAGTGTGCCATGCTTGATGTGAAAATAATAAGATTTCAATTTTTTAAAAACTAAATAATGTCACATGATATATATTAGGTTTTGCTACATAAAGCACAGTAAACACAATGTAACTGAATAGAAAAATAATAATAAACTGGGTGAATTTCCCAAAAATATGACTTCCGAAGGCTAATTGTGTTTATTTTGTGTTAATTTATGGCATACAAGCTTTTTGGGTGTTTTTAGGGGTGCTAAACTCAAATATGCTGTATGCTAAGCTCAAAAAAAAAAAAAAGACACCAAATCCAACATGCTCGCTGAAATGGCCGCCAAATTTTGATATTTGTCGTAACTTATACAATATTCCATAAAACAACAGTTTTTGAGTCTATTCTATGATTTTTGGCATCAAGGCATATAGTAGCACCATCAAAAGTAGAACTCAGCCATTAGTGGTTGCAGAAATCCAAGATGGCCACCAAATTGTAATATTTACCATAACTCCCATTTATATTCCACAGAATAACAGTTTTTCAGTCTTATTCTATGATTTGAGTGGACAGGCCATACAGTAGCACAACCAAAAGTTAATGTCATCCTATAGCAGATAAGGAAATCCAAGATGGCCACCAAAATGGTCACCAAATTTTGTTTTTTGCAAAAATCAGAAAAACTTCATAAATCTGTATATGTGCAGGAAAGCTGAATTCCGTCTAATATTGCTCAGAATACATTCTATTAGCTGTAAATAATAATTTTCTCCAAAACTTACCAGAAAAATATTTATTACCAAAAATCCCTGTTTTTAAGGCAAAACACATGTAATTTTCTTAATTTCAAGGCCATAAAATGTGTTAGTACTGGCATATGAGCTAAAGTGACGTTAACAAATCACAAATACATATTTTTTTAATTAGATTTAAATATTTTTGCAAAAATTAGGAAATAATTCGTAACTCTGTTAGCATTTGTACGAGAGAGTTGAATTTAGTGTCAAACTGCTCAGAATACATTAGGGTGTAATATACGCAATGAATAATAGTAAATCAAAGTATAGTAACTTTTGTATGGAGATATAACTCCACTGGTGATGTTTTACATTATTCAGAATAGGCTATTCATTTTCCTATTTTCTCAAATACAAAATTTGCTCCAACAAAATGACCAGAAAGCCATGTTTGACCATTGAAACTACTTTTATAGGATTTTCATGTGTCCGGGCTACAGTCCATAAAAACTTTTATGTAGATGTAAAATGAGCTTTGTTTAATGAAGGAATTTGTGCGAGTCATCCAAGCTCTCATTGCCTAACATTTTTACATCTTAACTCACTGATTTTGGTATGAAAGTTTCTATCCAATTCACTAACCATATTTTGGACAATTATAAGTTGTTTTGTTTTCACTAGTAAAGCCATCAAATTGCACAGCTGGCATACAGTACGTATAATAATTATGTTGGTAGATAATTTCAACAAACACTATATCTTTCAAAAATGAGTCTCTTTGTCCATCGACTTCCCATTATACTTTCAAGGATATGGCCAGGTTGCCGACTCCACTTTGCTGAAATACAATTTGCTGAATGCCAAAATGCAGACTCAAAAGTTGTTAAACTCAGTTTGCTGAATGAATCCGTCTTGACCGAAATCCAGTTTGGCGAATATCAATACGCATCATAATTCAATATTATATTATCTACACAACTTTTCTACACAATTAAAAACACATACTAAATAGCCTAATTAGGGTTGAAACCTACTATTAAACAGCTGCTGATATTTTTTTTACTATTAAAAAACAGAAATATATGTTTATCAATGAAAGAAATGATAGCACCAAAGTTAATTTTAATTTTTTAATAATGATCAAGCATGTACAAACATTTATTGTGATTGCTAGTCACTTGCTAAAGAAACTAAATTAGTTTTAGTCGCTTTCTTTATGTTCAAATTTCTAAATCTGCCACAGAAACACCACAGTTGTACCATTGATGAGAAAGAATTGTTCTACTGTATATTTGCTGTAGCTCATCAGCTGGAGGAGGTTCACAGCTTTTTTGTGTTTTTTCTCTATCCTTTTTTGTTTATGTTGTTTTTCTTGTCTCTTTTTATGGTCTTCTTGTTCCAGGCTGTAACTTTTAATAGGTCTTATATATAGGTGAAATTATAGACCTACAGTAGGCCTATAGGCCTTCTTTTTTTCCTTTTTTGTACAGTATATCAATTTATTATTTAATCTGAATCTTCTATTTGTTAAATTGAAAAAGGAATACATAAATAGGAATAGTCCTAACTGTGTTTTGATTTGTGATGGGTCTGTTTGTTTTTCTGAAAGTAAGACTAGGCTAGGCCTACTAAACTACTAACTAACTAAATCCTTTTCACGGCTAGGCCTAGAAACTCGAGTCAACATGGCCCCAGTCAACTCGGCCCCAAGTCAACTCGGCCCAATGTCATCTCGGGCCCAAGTCAACTCGGCTCCAAGTCAACTCGGCTCCAAGTCAACTCCGCCCCAAGTAGTCAACTCGGCCCCAATTTACTGTGTATTTACTGAATATTTACCAAACGAGATTTGAATGAAAAGCCACAATTAAAGTGTTTTAAATCATTGCCTTTGTTACTTTTCATTTACATCCACTTACAATAATTAAAACTGCATTAATAAAAATAATATTAAAATAATATTAATAAAAATATAAAAAGGTATAACTAATAATGATAATAAAGATATGATGACAATAATAAGGACATAATCATGACAATGCTCAATGAGTTAGAAACATATTAAATATACCTTATATATTATCCATATATAAATATATATTTCATTAGTGTTCCACGTGTGCTCCGACAGAATAGAAAAAAAAAACGAAACAGCTTCAATGGTAGACTTTAAGAACACTGATTTATTAGTAACTCGGATATTTTTCCCACTCCTGTGGCCTTCATCAGCGAGAATAATTGAAAACATCATGAATCATTATTATATAGGCTGTCTTATCAAAAATAAAGGTGACAGAGAGCAAATAAAAGATACTTATAAAAGTAAATAAATATATATGGGTCATTCCGTGTCAAATCAACCAGATTTCGAAAAAAAAACCAGTATGACCCTCTCAGATTTTGATGAAACTCCATAAAAATGATCCACTATGTGAAAAACCAACACTTAAAAAAAATTAGTGTTATAGGTTTTGTAGTTTCTGAGATATTGACGCCCCCCAAAAAGGGGCGTGGCTCTTCAAGATGCGCAAATGCAATTTCCTCCAACTTTGGAAGCTTATAACTTGGGATTGGTAATAGCTATCATGTCAAACTTGGTATTCTAACTTATATTCCACCATATTACACAAATATGGCATCAGATTAACTGTTATCCCTTCTTTTTTGAAGTTATCTGCACTCAAAATAGCCATTTTGTTTAACGACGCAATTTTTTCACTATTTTGTGCACACATCCCCTTTATGTCAAACTGCTGATACGGGAAAATTAAAAGGAATTGGAGTCTCAAAATTCCAGGTTTTTCAATTCACATGAATATCTGTCAGTGTGCAAAAAATCTAAGACCCATGGCATAGAATAACCCAAGTCTTAGCAACTTTCGTTATTTCCGATTATGTTAAAATATGTGTCTGTACCTTTGTTCAGGTATCCGTAACTCAAAAAGTAAATCTTTTTTAATCTTCAAATTTTTAGGAATCCTAACCCACTAGTATTACTTCATATATACACAGTAATAAACTTTAACTAAACTTAAAATTTGCCCCAGATACAGCCCTCCAAAAATGCAAAAAGTTTGTCCAGGCAGGTTTTTGTCCCATTTTTAGACCATTGCTGTTCCACAATGGTACATGTGCAAAAGTACAACTTTTCTGATTGCAGATTTGGAATCAGCAGTAAAAGATGTCCTACACCAAACAACCTGAAGGTTATAGGCGCTGTACTTCCAAAGATATTAGCACATGAAAATCAAAGTTAATTTCACAGTGCACTAATTTGTGCCACGCCCCCTTTTACATCAAACTGCCGCTACGGGAAACAAACAGGAATTGGAGTCTAAAAATAGGTTTTTCAATTCACATGAATAACTGTCAGTATAAAACATTTTAAAAATCTATGATCCCATGGCGTGGAATTACCCAACTCTTAAAAAATTTTGTTATTTCCGATTATGTTAAAATATGTGTAGTTTTCAACATAGTATCTAACCATGAAGGAGCTGAGTACCAAAGCTGAAAATTGATGTATAATATATCTGGTTAACTGGTGTCAATTTAAGAAAAGATTTTAACTGTCCACATGACGAACCGTTAATGGGAAACATCTATAGGCTTTTTTCACTTTTTAGGGCTGGTACCAACTTTGAATGGATGCCATTCCATTTTAATTCATTTGATCAGCCTGTGCTTGCTTGTGGTTAGAGACAACTACCCATAGATAATATATCTGTAATTTAAGATGTATATACTCACTCATATGGACAAAGGGTGACATTGAAAATCACAAAAAAATTGCATTGTTAAACTAAGTGGCTATTTTGAGTGCAGATAACTTCAAAAAAGAAGGGATAACAGTTAATCTGATGCCATATTTGTGTAATATGGAGGAATATAAGTTAGAATACCAAGTTTGACCTTGATAGCTATTACCAATCCCAAGTTATAAGCTTCCAAAATTTGGAGGAAATTGCATTTGCGCATCTTGAAGAGCCACGCCCCTTTTTTTTGGGCGTCAATATCTCGGAAACTACATATCCAGTATTAGGGCTAATCTTTTGTGTATGCTGATTTTTCACATAGTGGATCATTTTTAAGAAGTTTAATAAAAATCGGAGACGGTCGACCTAGGACCTCTGGTTGATTTGACACGGAATTACCAATATATATATATATCTATATATATTAAAATATATATATATATATATATATATATATATAGGCCTATATGTATATAAATCATGATATAATAGATAAAATCGAAACCGTCTTCATGTATAAGAAATAATAAGAATTGAATATGAGTATGACTATATGAGTATGGACACATTGGAAACACTTTATTGGAGAAAACAAATATTTTGACCTCTCCTAATAGGTCACGGTATCTTCATAGTGGACAAAAAGTCCGATATTGAGGCAAAAAAAACTACAGAGGGCGCGCTTTATTTAAAACCCACTTCCAAACACGTCACCCGCTTTGAATATTCAATGTTTTTAATCATCCAGTAATACTGAAAACTGGGAGATACCACTGAATATTCATGACCTACCCCTAATTTGGTCATGTGAGAGAAGCCTGGAACCTATCATTTATAATTATACGTCATAGAATTCGCTGTGAAAGCCGATGAAGGTAAGCATGTCCAAATTTCAGGTTTTTTTGCTAAAATGGTAGATAATGTTATCCATCATTTGTTCAAACATACTTTATATTTATGTAATACTTACTTACTAAAGAAAAAGTTAGCAAATTAAAAATTTTTGTAACGGTTTGTTTTTTTTTTCTATGAAGGTAAATGTACCCCTCTTTTCTGGCGATAGTGCAGCTGGTGTTGCACATTGTAGGGGGCCTAGCACTATACTACACGCCCAGGAATTGATCGTTAAGGACGTTGCGTGGGCATTGTCGGGTCAGTTTTGGGCCTAGCATATGGATGTGCATACAACGAATAGGCATTTATTAAATCTTTGCCTTTTTAACCCTAGGCCCTAGGTTTAAACTAGGCCTATTAATTAGAGTTTTTAATGTAGGCTAACAAGCACACATTTATCTAATTTGATTTTTAATTTTAATATTTTTAGGGTTTTTTTTTTTTTTTTTTTTTTTTTCTGCTACCACCAGACGTCCATGGCCACCACAAATTCCCAGGCAGGTACACATAAAGCAAATTTTAAAGGCAAGTACAGTTTTTAGTAGGCTTCGGTCTACAGTATTTTAATCATGCTTGTTACTGTTTACAATATTCTGTGTGTTTATAAGGGGTTGCTTATTCAATTACTATCTGTATATAGAAAGATTAGTTATTTTATATTAATCTAATGCCATAAATCAACTTATTTTTATTTACATAAAGTTTTAGTGGGTTTTTCATTGAAAAAAAAAATCACAATTTTCCTTATTCGTGCAAGTATAGTTTATCCAGGGGTAGCCTTTGTTTTTTTTTTTTCAAGTCAATTGAATTCTATTAAAAATTCATATTTTTAAATATTTTTAATTCAACTCATACAGTACAGACTGTATTTCAATTACAGTATTGTTTCAATACAGTTGTATTTTTTTTAATTAAAATGTAATACACTATTTATCTACAATATTATTTAATGATGTTGAATACTCCACCACAGTATTTTGCTTCTGCAGTTATTTCCTGATAAATATTAAATGCAATTCTAGCATTTCATTTAAAGTATATATAAATTGGAAAAGTTTGTAAGGCAATATCAAAATAGTTATTTCGTACTAATTCATAAATAATATGCTAAGTAATTTTTAAATGATGAAATTTAAAATGTACAATTTTTCTTTGCAGGTGGAAATGCCTTTCTCTGTATTTTGAGAGATGTGAATTATACTGATTTATAAAGATGAATTCTATTTGGCATAGTTCTGATGGCACTTAGTCCTTTCAAATTTGTTTGTTGAATGCGACATGGATCTTTTCACCACACTATTCACTCAACATACCCAAACCATGCAATCCAAGAGGCACAGCATACAATGACAGTTTTTTTTTTTTTGCTCCTCGGTTTATTTGCTACAAAATTGCTCAACATTCTGATGATAAGTTCCAACTAACAGAATTAGATGGGTAATACATGCGTTGTCTTCTGGTATCCTTAAAAAGTTATGTAACATGTTTCTTTTATCTGTATGTTATATTCTTTGTAGAATTTTGAACATTTGCTAATTCATAATTGTATACTTTTTGAGGGATCATAGTTTGCTTGACAAAAAGCAATGACAAACCAAATCATGTGAATCAATGATGGCATCTAAAAAATCATATAGTTTCTTAAAAGCCATATATCATTGTGTGTTTAATTTTTGTAAATAAAAATCATGACTAACAAGATGACTCCTGTGTGGTTTTATCCAGTTTTGTGTTGTAATGTACAGTATGTTTTTGATCACATGTATCATACTGCCATTATCATTTTTTTGTAAAGATAATAAAATACAAGTTTTGTTTTTCTGATTTTAAATTAAAGAAATTTAAATTATTATACCTTTTAACTCTACACCAGAACCCACACGTAGAAAGAAAATGAACCACCATAGTAGTAGCACACACACCCGCACTCACGCATTCTAAGCCTAGGACGGATAACAGAAAACCGTATCCTAGGCCTAAAGCTAGGCCTAGGGTGTAAAAAAAGGTAGAACATTCACTAAGTTTGAAGGGCAATATCTCAAAATTCAACCGTTACAAAATTTTTTCCTTTTGAAATAGAGTAAAATAACATCTAATGAGAAAGTATGTAAAAAAACTAGACCTCTAAATGATGGATATCATGTGTTGAGAGACGAATTAAAGTTGCCTACTTAAGTACCCGATCTTATGTGGTGGCGCTTTTTGTTGATTTCGTCGCCGTATGATAGGCCTCAGAAATACGATTAAAAATACGAGTAAACATTTTTTTCTATACATAGTGATTTAAATGTGTGGTTTAATATACATTAAGGTGTCTTGTAACTAGTTTGAATCAATAAAAGATAAGTTATATTTTTAGTAATATCTGATATACTACAGGAATTCGTGTAGTATATCAGATATTAATAAAATATAAGTTATATTTTTAGTAATATCTGATATACTACACGAATTCCTGTACCGATAAATTTACTCGCGTAGCGAAGAATACATTGTCCCGCTTCAGTGATCTCACTGGCTGAAAGAATATCGTAATGTAGCGCCCTCTATAGTACAATCCTTTTTGTCCAAAACTCCTAATCTTGAAGACACCTTAGTATGTGTGCTTAACAATTTGACACCAAAAATATCTCTATAGGTCAAAGAGTTACAAAGATATGGTGATTTCATGTTTTTTTTGCAAAAACACATAAAAATTGAGGACCTATTGCACTTCAGTTAGGGTTATCGAATCATGGAGTTATAACTCCATGATCGAATCGACTGTCTGTGCTGTGCCCAACTCATACGGTATGCCGTGAAATAATTATCATACAGTATATCTATCCAATCTATCCAACATTCTACCGTGCGAATAAATTTGTTTCGACAATTCGCACGGTACCGTGTGAATTAGCTCTTATCAGTCTTATTCGCACGGTAGACCTAGCCAATCAGCAGTTAAGGTTTCATGACGTAACGGCTGTCATACCGTACGAATAAGTTCTTATTCCTAATTCGCACGGTACCGTGCGAATAACCTCTTCCAAAAAAAAGTGTATAGGCCTAGGGCCTAGGCCTATCTATACTGTAACTAGGCCTGGCCCTATATATATAAATACTAGGACTATATAATAATTGCTATTTCTTCTTTAGTTGCCTACGTTGTTTCGCCCAAGCATGCTACTGTAGTTCAGTTAAACTGGACATTAAGTTTTAAATACATTACCCCGTTTGTATCAAGTGCCACTGACCCTACATCAATGGAATGAGGGATGACGTCGTCAAAACATATCCATGTTGTTACCGTCGCCCTCAACAAGGTCTTCCTCTTGCTACGCTCAGACGTAGGCCTATCAATATCTCGTTCTAAATTTGAAGCTAGAGTTGATTTTCCTGCTCCTGGAATGCCACACAAAATAAGAATCAAACATCTCCGTGTCATACTAGCCCATTAATATTTGACAGTAAACAACATTTAGGCCTGTTTAGGCCTAGCCTTATACTCTCAACTATGAAACATGTTTGTTTACATTCATCATGTCTATCCCGGAAACATTACCTTTCACCCTTATTTGCTATTTGACAAACTTTTCAAAGGCGAAAGGCGGCGCTACGCTCTTCATGAGTGTAGAGGGCGTTTAAACCATTGATCCTCCAGGGCATTCCATTTTGTAATGGATGTCATTATTATTGAATTGTTTTATTTATATATAGACATAAACAATATATTAAACCAAACTCCCTGTAATTTACACATAGCAAATATTTAACAACTACTATATATAATTTATAGCAATCAGATCACAAGATACGATAGTAAAAAAAAAATTTGAAAAATTTACTTCACCCACGAAAGTTAACGGGCCTCATGACGTATTACAGGTTTCGACGTCCTTTCATCACATGTACGAAATTTTGTACATGGACTTTCTGTCATGCTTTGTGGTAAAAATTGTGAAATAACACTTTACGGGAATGATATGAACTTTGATACTCATCTCATGGTTTAAGTTGATCCTAAGACATTCTGTTGATTTAATATATTTTTATCAAGGTATTCACTGGATCTTTTTCCCGCCCCGAGTTAGTGCGGAAGGTAGGAAGAATTTTGGCCTTATTCTCTACGCTTACAAATACTGTCTGTCCTCTCTGCTGCTACTCCCGAACATTACGCTGTATGTATTGCGTGGGCTAGGTACATCGAGAAAGAAGACCAGCTGTTATTTCTAATGTAAATTTCTTCCCAATCTACACAGATCTCAAACCGTTAATAAAATTTACTGAACCGATAGTACAGTGGCGATTCATTGCCACGAGACTTGTATCTTTAAATTTCAGTCAGAACTGAGTCTAAATTTAGGGGTGGAGTAAAAACAGAAAAGAAAGCGTCTTCAAAATGTCAGGAGCAGCAGAACCAGAAACGGCTGCCGATCGGAATGTCGAAATGTGGAAAATTAAGAAGCTTATTAAGAGTTTACAAGCAGCAAGGGGGTATGTATTGTTTTACACTGTATGTCGATAATCACATTATTTAAAAAAAAACTAAATTTTATTGAAAAAAAAAATGAAGTTGATAATACATTTAGATGATTAGGGCCAGAAGTAGAAATCGGTTATCCACCCGGTCAACAGATAATGTAGAAATCGCTGTTATCCACCAAACCGACAGGTGAATTACAGTAGTAGAAAGTGTCTATCCACTTGGCGGACCGGTGAATTAAGTAGAAATCGTTTATCCAAACACCTGACGTGTGAACAAGTAGAAATCCGTTTTTTATCCACCCTGCCGATGGGGGAATAAGCTAGAAATCGGTTTACATGTGAACAAGTAGAAATCCGTTTTATCCACCCTCCCTGCCGATGGGTGAATAAGATAGAAATCGGTTATCCCTTTCTTGCATATACATACATAACATTTAACAGAAAAAATAATGAAAAAGCCTTAGTAAAAAATAGACATTATAATAGAATACAAGACAATTGTTGAAGAAAAAAAAAAATTAATTATCATTATTGTTATTATTAATAATAACAACAATAATACTAACAACAACAACAATAACAAAAGAGTAGTAATAATAATCAGCATGCCATCGAGTTTACAATACAGCGGGGAGATTCAATTAAAGAGTCTGAGTATATCTTTCGCCGTGGCTAGAGATACGGTACCGTATTTCTACTTCGTTTTGCTAAAGGTACGGTAAATGGCATTACGTCACCATCACGCAATGAAATGCCAGAATGTGTGTGACGTCATTTTTTGAAGACAGGTGCATTGCATCTCACCCGCAATGAGCGGTGGAAGGAGAACGATCATTGTACAGTACTGGGAAATTAGAACATCAAAAGTACAATATTGTTTGACTTTACTGTCATCCTTAAATGGGCGTATGGTTCCACTTTATAGTAAAAGTAGACCTGTATGAATTCTCTTGTTTATAGTATATTCATTTTTTTATTGCAAGTGGTGTCATATAAATAGATTACCAAAGACTAGCAGTAGTGTGTGTATACATGTGCCTTGGCCTAAGTCCTGAGGATGATGCCTTGCTTGATAAGGCTATATAATGACATGACTTTATTACTGAGTGGTACACCTATTTTTCTATGACAGTATTAAGGCCTGCATCAAAATTATTGGAAAAATTTGACTAAATTGTAATAATCACAAAGGGGAAACTTATTCTCTCGATCTAGGCCTAGATTCTGTACCATAACAGTGACGAAGTCTAGCCCTACGAAAAGTTTTGTGCATTCAAATTGTATGAATATTTTGGTGGGGTTTTAAAGTGTGGTATTATTTCGAACTTCTTGGACTAAAACTTGGGATGTAGGGATTGTGAAGTTCAGGCGGTGTGATGACGGAGGAACTAGGCTAAGTTTATGACTGATATAGGCCTATGCCACTTAGATCAATGCCACCAGAGCAGCTGCCGTGAAAAGCAGAATCCAAGCAAGGCCGAGCAGGCTTGCTTAGATTGTTTCGCCAAGCGAAGAATTTAAGCAAGGCCTAGAGGCATGCCAAGAGTTGGTTGGAATCAGTCCTTGTTTGATAATGGTTATACATAGGCCTAGCTAAATGAAACTCTTCACTAAATGGAACCATAAGCCTATTTATCGATAACAGTACTAAGTCAAACAATATTGTACTTTTTGATGTTCTAGTTTCCCAGAACTGTACACCTACATAAACCGAAAGGTCCACTGATTAATCTCAGATAAGAAAGTATAATACATACTCCAAGTATTGAAATACACGCCATCGTGTTGGGATTCAATATTTCGACATTAATTATGTCATCATCTTGGAGTATGTATTATACTTTCGTACTCCTACATCGTTCTCGTTTCACTGCTCATCGCGGGTGATCTGCAATGCAATGCCAGTCTTGAAAAATGACGTCACGCACATTCTGGCACTTCATTGGGTGATGGTGACGTAATGCCATTTACCGTACCTTTAGCAAATTAAGGTAGAAATACGGTACCGTATCTCTAGCCACGGCGTATATCTTTATACTTTTCTAGTCGGAGTTTTAGATCCTTGAAATAAGGTATTATTACATTTTGTAATACCATTATACCATTTTGTACTTTTTTTACATAACTATAGATATAATATTTAGTGAACAATATGAAAGAATTAACAAATGGTGATAAATCAGGGTCTCCAAAGTAGATGCTTTTTGTGTCAAAGTTAATTACTTTATTAGTTTCATTAAAGGAAAAATAAAAATGTTGGCAATCAACCAAAAAAAAAAAAGAAAAAGAAATCGGTTATCCACCTGACTGACTGGTGAATGTTATCCACCTGGCTGATGGGTGAACAAGTAAAAAGTCAATTATCCACCTGGCTGATGTTTAAATTTAGTAGAAATCAGGTTTTATGCACCTGGTTTTAGTCATTGGCTTTGTCAAAAAATTGACCAGCTGGACATGATATGTTTTCTTAATGTGAATGCTGCCCTCAAAAATATTTTGTCCAAGTCACAAACTACAGGATAATTTAGGTACAGTAGTTGCAAAATACAACAGGTTCAGCCGAGGGGGCGTGGCTTGTATATGGGGATGTCATGTATAATTATGCTGTCTACCAAGAAACATCACTCTACACTGTGTGACCATGGTGTGACCAATGTGAATTTAGCAAGGCAAGGCGAGCAGGCTGAGGCTTATCTTAGTTTTCTGTTGTGCGGCTGCTACGGGCGGGTGATGGACGATCGCGTCCATTTTCAGACGAAGTTATGGACGTTTGTAGGTCTAGGCTCCCTCCAACTATGTCCCTGGCAAAAAAAAGTGGGCGTGGTCAGGCATCCCTCAATATCTGTCGAAAGTGTTCCACAGGGCTTCTCTCCCCCCCCCCCCCAAGAAAAAAAAATAATTTTTGGTTTACTTAAGTCGATTTTGGTGTCTATAATATGTAGAAAATACATTACATTTTTTCTCCCCAACAAATAGTGGTTTTTTTCCCGGCAGGGTGTGGGAGACAACCCAGACCTCTGGGTGCTGTTACCCCCCGATGCTAAGTACAGTATTGTACTATAGTAGGGCCTAGGCCATTGAATTTTTTCATTTCTTTCTGTGATTAAGACCTATATCCCTACAGCTAAAATAAGACTAACTAGGCCTATGTATTATTTCACTCTGTGTTGGCCCAATGATTTGATAATATTCCAGGGATCCTAATTTTTTGAAAGAAAAACAGACAGGGACAACTTATTTTTTTTACATTGGTTGTACCATGAAGGAATTAGTTGTACAGACTGTATTTTGCTGTGCTGTGTGATTACAGACACGGGCCACAGTTTATCAAGGAGATTGATACAAAACATAGCTGAAGTTTGCATGATGTCAACATACGAAGCCACACCCCTTGGCTGAATCCGTTGTGTTTAGCAACTACCGATGATTTATTGGTGAATTGATTAACCTGACACTGGCACTATAAAATAGACACATGTAGGGTGTGCAAGAGCAGCTTCCGTATTGTGTGCCACGTTCATGCTACCGTGCGCCCAAATTAGTTGTGAAAAATAGGCCCAAAGTAAGCAAACGTATCGAGCGCGTACAGCTACGCTTCAATACGAAACCCTCCAATGATCAGGACCCTGCTTGTTTTCATTCCGGTTTCTGTATGAGCCTCTCACAACAATTTTTTTTTTGCTCCTACACGTAAACAAAATAGTTCTATGTAACTGTCAAATTCACTCTGCACACTTTTTAGTACTAAAAAGCAGTTTTTTTTTTTTTCTTGAGTTGGGGCATTTAATTTGACTTCAGTCTAGACCCATATACATAAAAAAGTACCTGTTTTTTTTTTCATTTTTGAAGGAATTTTTGAAAATTTCAACCGGTTCGCATACAGAAATATCAAACTTTTATGACGTAATTTGAGCTTAGTCCCGAAATGCAGCATTCACTGTTCAATGATTTTGAAACAATGGATTTGATAGGTTGAATCAAACCCAAATTTTTCCACTGTTTTACTCAGCACTTCACATTCAACCACGCGGTAAAACCAATCAAACAATGTTTACGAAGGATTACTATTTGTACAGAGGCTAGTAACTTTAGAAGCTCATAAAACTTGCTTGTAGAATTCTTGATCATACTGAATTTACAAAGAGCCAATTATTTAAATTTAGTGTCATGTCAGTAATTAATGGTAAAGATACTGTAGATATATAGTTGATAATCACTGGACTCTCTGAATGTGTCTAGGCCTACAGTATGCCTGATTATTTTTCTTATTGTAGGAGGGGCCTACTTTATTTACGAGTATGATTCTCAGCAGGTTTTTTTGACATTTTTCTATGGACATAGGACATTTAACACTTTCACTGCTGGGCCTTTTTAAGAAGAAAGTTTAAGTTTTTAAATACATGCATGCCAAAAAAAAAATACTAATAAGAGGTTATTTTTAAATTGTTTGTGTGTGTTGGGGTGGGAAAGAGGTTGGCCTACAAGAAAAAATTGAAGTTGGAATTTTTAATTAGGTGGTCATGTGACCTTGGGATCAATCCTCTTTTCATAAATATGTAAAAAAAAAGATAGAAATTCTTATGGGATGATTTTTTTTCCACTAGATAATGGTGAAGATACATGAATAAAAAAAAAATCTAGTTTAAATTATTTTCATCATTTTATTCAAAAACAGACAAAAATCCATGTTTGTTGGCATAATCGTGAAAAAAAAAAAGTTTTTCGCAACAATCAGTCATTGCTCCATATAATTCAGTAGAAATCACCTCTACTTCATAGAAACAACTATAGAGGGTGCCTGCAGTACGGGAAAAATATTAAACAGAATTATTTTGATGCCGCTGTTAGTATTGGGGGCATGCAGCGGAAGGGTTAATTTATGTTTCATTAACTTTTATTTATATTCTTTCAGGACAAACATATTACAATGGATCTGTCAATACCAAATTACAATTTAATTAAATGTGAATGAATGAACATACGTAGTGGTTCAGTGTAAATTTGTTAAGTGTACTATACAGTGAGTATTAATTACAGTAGGAATAAATGAGTACTAGCATATACCCGTGCTCCGCACGGTGTTGAATGAGTAGGGAAAGGTTGTGATGTACATTGTTGAATGTAATGGGAAGTCGAGGAGGCAGTCGTTGTGGATATTTTGGTTAGAATGTTATTAATTTTCTAAAGGACGTGTTTGTAGTATGTTTTGAGTGTCTTTGCTGAATATTCCTTGTGTGTGAAGAATTATTGTGCAGTTTAATGAAGGGCGGATCCAGAATTTTTCAAAGGGGGGGGGGTGGGCTTGCTTTGAAATTTCAAAAAATTTGTGGCAAGACAGGGAGGCATGTGCCCACACCCACTCCCCCACCCTTACTGGATCCGGCCTGCCTGTTCATCTGACGTGCTTATGTAAATTTGAGGTGTTAATTGGGGGAGCTGGCTTGACCCTAAATTTTATACTTTAGAATACACCAAAATTTGTCTATTTAAAAAAAATTGGCTCACACAGAAGGTGTTACTGTTAAGAAACAAAGTTTAAACATTCTACTATACAATGATATGTGTCTGTATACTGGTATAATTTTTATAAATTAATATGACGTGTCCACGGAGTCGTCTGGCCGGTCAAAGTAGGAAGTATTTTTAGGGCCAATGGTCCTGCAACCATGTTCGGGACCCCATTATACCTTTATTATTGCCTTAATTACATTGCAAACTTTTATATATGCAGTAGTATGAGCATATTCATCACAGGTTTAATTTGAACTTCCGTACTTTAAAGCATGGTATTATACGACCCTCCGAAAAAAGCAAAATCTATTTTCACACAATGCTTTTGGAGATTTTTGGCAAATAACATTCTAATGAAATAAGCTACCAAATTCAAATGGTATTTGCTGAAAGAGGGGCCAAATATCAGTCTACTGTATGTAGCAATTTTCTACTTTTTATTGTTTATTCCAGGAGATACTGTATACCTGAAGCTTTGTAAAACCATACAGTACATAGTTAAAAGAGCCATAAAAACCGGTGTGAAAAAGGGGCGTGGTAACTAAATTTCAAAAGGTCATAACTTAAAAAGCACTTGGAAATTGGAGCTGAAATTTTGGGTTCTTTCTTTTGACATATAGTATCAGGGTATTTTTAGAATGTTTTTCAGGAAAATCCAATGGGGGAGTCACATGGGCATGGTGGTTGATTTGTATGTATTTTTACTAAAATCGGGTCATAGATGCATGGCATAAAATCGGTAAAATAGAAGGCATAATTTTGAGAACCGACCGTGACGACGTTGTATGCACGCAACATTGGATCTCCCGCATGATTTCGGGCCCCCTGTGGACAAATTTCGCTGTACGCTGGGAGAAGAGTGTACTGTAGTAATGCAGATGAGGGGGTTGGGATGACCCTTAAACCACTGTGAATTTATTCATTGACTTCAAGAAATGTAATATATTTCTATGTATTATATTGAATAATAATTATTTTACTTGTTTTGATTGGCTACAGGAATGGTACCAGTATGATATCTCTCATCATACCTCCAAAAGACCAGATTCCAAGGGTAGCCAAAATGCTGGCGGATGAATTCGGAACGGCTTCCAATATCAAGAGTCGTGTCAACAGGTACAATTTATTCAACTCATTTCTGTGAATTTAAAAAGTAATTCTTTTTATTGGCTCCTGCAGTAGTTGAAATGTACTTTTCAATTTTAATATTCTATTTGCTTCATGAGTCTTATTATAATTATGTTAATTTCAATGTGGTGTTTTACAGGTAAGTGAAAAAAATTTTATTGTGAACATCTGTTAATTTATATTTTGAATGTATATTTTTTTAATTTATGCCCACATCCTCTTGTTATTCTTTTTTTGGTGATCCGCTAACGTTAGCGGATCACCTATTGTTATTGTACGAGATCTTTTTTTTTTTATTCTACCTTTCCTTCCATTTTTGTTCGCACGATATCTCAAAAAATGCCACGAGTTTACGCACTATCGCTATCAACGAACATTTGGCTTGGTCTGGAATAGTCATGGTAAGCTTTTCACTGCGCTCAGTCAATCGTGACGTCATCTACGTGCAATTTTGCGTTTTTACATTATCGATTATATCAGCCTAACCAATTGCCATTTCGAAATCGTATTAAGTGAGCATTAACTTCGGGTTAATGTTGAATGTACTGTACACTAATTTGACGCGTGCGCTTTACTATGCGCGCGTACGCTTGCGTCAAAATTTCAAAATGCTCAAAATCACTTTTTAACTAAATTAGAGCACGTTTCATGCCATTTTGAGCATTTAAAATTTTTTTGAAATTTTCCACTGCGCGCACGCATTTTTACGTGCTCAGCACTTACGAAAGCTAGACATTACGTTATTTTACATGTTTTGGTTTCCTGACATTGTTTTCACAAATTTCCATTCTTTTCGGTTATCTTTTGGCCAATAGCAATACCGTACGTGCGCATCAAACATAGGTATCTTTGCGCGTATTTGTGCCGCTATACAGTGAAATTATGACAAAATCAGACATATTTTTAATCAGTAATAGCTCCTTAGGTTGAAAGGTGACCCCCAATTTTTATTACATATTCTGAAAGCACATAAGTTGTAAATATAATTTTATAGATCATAATGGCTGATCGGACATTGTGACGTCATCATATTGGCATCTGAATTCAAGGAAGTGAATTATAGCTATGACGTCATTTTTGAAAATACGCATTTGAGCGTATCTCGCTTATCCAAGGTCGATCGCCTTCCAACTTTGAGTATGTTATAGCTGAGACAATTCTCTTTCATATATTTGAAGCCTTTTTACATTTTGATGACGTCATCATGGTCAAAAAAATTGTTTTTTCTGACCCCCTCATTTCTCTTTCTTCAAAACGTTGATGACCCCATATAATCTTAACCATTCGTCATTTCTAAATCATATTAGCATAAGCTTCAGGTCAAGGTTGAATGTTATGTACCTTAATTTTCCGTTTGCGTTTTTTAGCGTGCACGTACGCGTGCGTCAACATTTATATATGCATAAAACCATGCATGTTTTTAATGAGTTATAGCTCCATAGGATGAAAGGTGACCCCCAATTTTTATTACATATTCTGAAAGGACATGAGTTGTAGATACGATTTTATAGATCATATTGGCTGATCGGACATTGTGACGTCATCATATTGCCATTTGAATTAAGAAGAAATTGAATTTTTATTTATGACGTTATTACTTTTTATACTCGTTTGAACGTACTCGCTTATCTTGATTGATGGTCTCCCACCTGTGAGTATGTTATAGCTAAATCAATTCTCTTTCGGACGTGTCCCTTTATTTTTTAATTTGATGTCGTCATCATGGTCAAAAAGAATGCTTTTTTTGGAGCCTTCTCATCTTTCTTTCTTAAAAGATGTAAACACATTGAAAATAGAGGGCGGCAGACTAACAAAATTCATGTGGCATTACCACCCAACAGGGGGTTTTAAATTAAACTTGACAAGGTTTAAATTCATGTGCCATTACCGTCGTCAGGGACATCGTATAAGGTATTCGTACTTGTGCGTTAAAATTTTAAAATTGTTAATATCACTTTTCAGATAATTTAAAGCACGTTTCAGGTCATTTTGAATAATTCAAAACTTACCAAAATTTACCCGCCGTACGCTCATTTCCACGCCCACAGCACTTACTGAAGCTGGAAATTACGGTTACATGTGTTGGGTTTGTGACACTGTATTATACTACCGTGCGCACGGACGTTAAGACGTATGTGTACACAGTCCTTAAAATGCTCAAAATTTCTCTTTTCCTTTAAAATTTCTTTTAAAATGCTCAAAATTACTCTTTAAATAGAGCATGTTTTAGCATATAATACTTTTCAATCAGAACCGCGCGTGCTTCGTGAGGGTCAAAGTGCGGCGGATCACCTACTGTAACTCGTCCTCAGTGACGAGTTCAAATCTAGTTTTAATTAATTGTTTTCTTTTGATTTGTATAAGTTATAAATAATAATTTTTTTTTTTTTTTCAAACCCGTAATTTAGACTGATCATTGCACTGATATTTGTTATAAAATCTTAAGAATAGCAGAAAAATATATAAAAATAACTTAACACAAAATATTAGTAAAACAAGTGTGGAGGTGCTTTATCGAATGGAATAATCATTTTTCCATAATCTTTATTTACATAATAATATTATTATGTAGCAATGTTAATTAACCTCCATAGTTAATGCGCACTTTGAGTAACGTACTTGCGCGAATAAGTGCCCCGTTTGAATAAGCGCCCCCTCAATAATATCATAAGATTTTCTTTTTAGTAAGTCAATTATCCAATCAATCCTGGGACTGTGGTTGTTGGCAGGATTTGAGCTGCAGAGTGGAATCACATTCTTCTTAGGCCAACATCAAAATGAGGATATTTTTCACAGATAAGAGTTCCGATCTCTAGACAGACAGTACATTCCAATTTTCATCTTCTTACATACTGTATTTGTCTAGGCCTAGTCCAACTCCTCTTTTTCTTTTTCCGACAATTTGCACCTTTACCACATTCTCATCTCATTTCAAGAAAACCTGCAAAAATCCTGCCGTTATGCTAATCTCAATTGGCCGATGGCCAACAAGCTAACCACTACCCACCACCACTAATTGCATGCTATTCTGCTGTTATGTAAATATTCACAGCGTTCTTGTCATAGCCATGTTCTCTGGACATATGTTTTCGTAATGGCCCTATATAACCTTTTTTCATTCAAAAAGTGCCTCTTGAATTTAATAAGTTACCATAAGAACCCCTCGATTTTCATTTATTTGCATAAGAGCCCCCTTAATTTCCACTATGTTTTCATAAGTGCCCCGTTTAAATAAGCACCCCCTTTGAATAAGCGCCCCTCAGAAAGTGCAAAAATATTTCAAGCGCCCGGGCGCTTATTCGCACGAGTACGGTACTGCCATTGTCATAGTGGCACTGAACATTGCATTTTGCTGTGGATATTGGCACTATAATACAAATCCTTGATTAATTGATTGATTGATTGATTAATTGGAGTGTAGGCCTACTGTATACATTGGACTGTACTGATGTCATCTCTAAAAGCTATCATTACTATACACTTTGATTATTTTTTTTAATTATTCATGATCTACAGTATTGGTATATTGAATACACTAGTTGGTAAAAGTAGACATCACCTTGATTCACTATAAGTACAGTATTAGAGCCATTAGAAATAAGGCAGATAAAATGAAAAATGATAAAAATGAGATAAAAAATATAATGAAAGTAATTAATATGATCAAATTAATTTTGTAGAGCTCTAAAATACTTTTTGTGTGTCTTAATATTATTTTGTCTTAAAAAATCACTTGTAGTCATCTACTGTACTCATTTAGTAGGTCTAATGTTGACAGTGCCCTCTGCATGAATTAAAAAAAAAATTGTTAAATGTTTTTAGAGTTATTTTCATGCTTTTAATTCTCATAATGTGAATTAAATGATGTGTTTTTTCAGGCTTTCAGTTCTTTCGGCCATTACGTCTGTACAGCAGCGATTGAAATTGTACAACAGAGTACCTCCAAATGGACTTGTAATTTACTGTGGGACAATTGTCACAGACGACGGCAAGGAGAAGAAAGTGAACATTGATTTTGAACCCTTCAGGCCTATCAACACCTCCCTATACCTATGTGATAACAAATTCCACACAGAGGTAAGAACTATTATATAGGGATGTTTTCTGAATAGCGGTATCGCTATTTAGGAAATGCTAACCAAAAACGTGAAATTGTCAACTAAATAGGCGTTTGACCACATATTCAAACAACAGTGAAATAGATTCATCATTTTATTTTAATTGACCTACTGTAAGAAGAATGGGTTACAGTAGGCCTAAATTTCTGATAGATTGGCTTCTATTAATTACTGTATGATTATTATAATATAATATGGTTTTAACAATAGAAGAGAAACATTTAAATCAGTGTTGAAGCAACCATTAGGCAATTGGTTATATAATTGATTAAAAAATAATATTCTCATCTTAACTTCAAAATTTCTTCTATATAGTAGGTACAAAAAAACTTGTTTTTTATTTTCTCTAACTCCAGATATGCATAATCAATTGTATCAGCAATTTTATTTGATATAGATGACAACTCAAAAGTCTTCTAGTTCAATTCTTTATTTTTTAATTCTTTTGTTATTGTCAAGACAAGGCACATACAATAAATGCAATTCATTGGGTGGTCGGACAAGATCTCAAAAGCAAACCTTATCACTATTGTATTATCATAAGACTCCCAACCACCCGGCTTCACGTGCAGTGTTTTCAATAAAAGAAAAAAAAATATTATAATTTTTTTTTTACAAAAATAAGATAATGTACAGTACTTTCTATGTATGTAGGTTTCATTGGCTACAATACAGTACTGCAAATGATTGCTCCATTTCATTTTTTTCGTAGGCACTCACAGCTCTTCTTGCTGACGACAATAAATTTGGTTTCATTGTGATGGATGGTAATGGCGCCCTCTTTGGTACACTGTCGGGCAATACGCGAGATGTGTTACATAAGTTTACCGTAGATCTACCGAAGAAACACGGTAGGGCTGATGTCACAGTTCTATGTTTTTGTTGTGATCAGTTCAAGTATACCTTATAAGACTGCAAAAACAAACATGCGTTATTCATCAACACTAGTATTAGTATTAATTGGTCCAAAACTCGAAGACCCGGAAATCACTGTTTTATATTTTGCCTAAGTTGTTAGACTGTGTTGAAAACTACTCTATTTCTACTGTACTGTGGCTAAATATACAGCATCACAAAATGGAATATATCTCGGCTGATAACGATTGATATTTCTTGCTTTAAAGGAAGTTTATATCAATTGATTGGTTTAAATAAATAAGAGTTTTTGTGGGGGGATCAAAATATCAGCGAGCAGAATCCAGGGACGTCTCATCTCGGTTGCTATTGATTTGCCATGAAATGATTAAATTCTATACACAGCCCATAAGAGTTTCGGTTTTTTAATTCTATACTACTCCCCTTCACTCTTCAGACAACAAAAAGTGATCAGTTTCTTTTTTTTTTTTTTTATGAATGATAGTACAATTTTTTTAACGCTTTTGATTTTGTCTGTAGGTCGTGGTGGTCAGTCGGCTTTACGTTTTGCTCGTCTACGAATGGAAAAAAGGCATAACTATGTACGGAAAGTCGCTGAGACCGCAGTTCAGTTCTATATCACTAATGACAAGCCAAATATTTCTGGCCTTATTTTAGCTGGTTCTGCAGACTTTAAGACGGAACTGAGTCAATCGGACATGTTTGATCCGGTAAGTACATTATAAGAAGTTTCTCGTTATGTTTTTGAAAATCAGCTTGAATGAAAATTGTTAACGTATCGTATCAAACATGGTTTTACTGCTAAATTTGGACAATTATTAGGAGAAAGAAGTATGGTATTGGATATATTTTGTAACGTTTCTATGATAGCTAACTGAAATTTCAATCTTATTGGTGCAGAGGATTTTGAAGACAAACATAATATACAAAAAAATACCTACATTTTTACTGTCTGTCTACTTTAATTGTCTTACCCTTGGTTTTAATAAAAAGAATATATTATTTCATCAAGTTTATATAATTCTTATCTTCACACACATACAACCATTTCTTTCAAAACAAAATATGAGTGGTTTTTTTACAGTATGAAATCATTTTAGTAAATATAATATTTACAAAACCAAATGAAATTATTTGAACATTTATCATTTAGTACTATTCAACAACCAATTTCATTTTGAATTTCTAGTCATCAAAAATGTTGAAGATATTCTTTATATATTCAATAATGTTATGTTTTATATTCATAACCATTTATGTTATTGCATATTGATTTCCCATAAACTATTCTTTGAACAAATTGTAACATTTTCTTTGATACATTTAACTTTTTCCCCTATTATAATAAATGGTACAGTCCAATATTTTTCAAATATTTGGAAATTAGCTGGCTGTAATAATATAGCACTGATTATTGGCAAATATAATGCAGATACAACTGCACATAAATTGAGTTATTTATTAACTGATTCAGTTTCTTGAAGGCTTGCTGCTGTGAAGTAATTTTTGTCTTCATAGCCACTGTCTGTCTACCTACTAGGTGGGAACTAAAGCCTGTTTCTATTTATAGATTATGAGTAATAGCATCAGTCGTAGAGATCAATGATTTCATTTTGATTCAGAGTGAGTCGTTTAGTGACGGTGGATTACTGAATGCATTTTTAATCAGGATTAATGTTAAACATGTTAAGAAAAGATGAACATTTGCTTCCTTGTACAATAATGAAATGATAAATTACTGCACATTTGCTGCATGATCATTAACAGTGTTATAAATTTCATAATATTGCATAATAATTTACATAAAGCCAAACATTCTAAATGCGAAAAAATATGGTGTTAATGCATGTGTTGTGTATAGACAATTCCAATTATTATACGCTCAAAATTATTTAAACTATTTATATTTTTTTAATCATTTTAAAACTTTACAACAAAGCATATTATGAAATGTATTGAAATAAGTTTTATTAATTTATTTTTAACATTTTTTTATTTATTTATTTTATTTCAACAATATTTAAAGAGGGTAGCCCTTTAAAATTCCCTGAAGGGAGGCTGATGTTTAGTGGCCATCTTTAATAAATACAGTATAATATAACATCGTACAATAAGTCACCACATGAAAACTAAAAAAAAGTAGACATGAATTTAATATATATGAATGAATACAAAAAGAATGAATAAATAAAAAAATTATAAAAAATAAATAAAATTAGATATATAAATAATATATAATATATAAAACCTTTAAATTATATAGTATTGCTCCAGCACCACATGGTCATAATTTTGTTCAGTGAATACAAAAAAAATGTCAGTTTTTAATTATTTTTAGTGATACAGATTCCAACTAAAATATTTAAATATACTTTGCAGTTATGCACTGGATATGCTTTATTCAACCTACTGTGGGCCTGCATCTTACAAACTTTGCTGTTGGGATGGGAAGAAATTAAAAAATATATTATTTAATATTCAGTCAAATGATAAAATATATTTAAAAAAAAAAAGAAAATATAAACACTAGCTGCCCTTAATTGCCAATTGAGTGCTCCTTCAGTTATAGTGAATTGTCAATTGCTTTTTTATGTGAATTGTCAGAGGTTGCAGACAAAGGTGTTGAAACTTGTAGATGTATCATACGGCGGTGAAAATGGCTTCAATCAAGCGATAGAACTGTCAGCTGAAGTGCTTTCCAATGTCAAGTTTATTCAAGAAAAGAAATTGATAGGTAACAGTTGTCTGTTGTTGAAAGTTAGAAGGAGGTGTTGCAATTATTGGAATATCAAAAGAGGGAGGTGTAGCATTGCATTGTAGTGCATTTAAAGTAGGTCAGGGTGCTAACCTTTCAAGGTGAGTGAATTACCCTTGACTTTGACTTTGTGTAACGTCATTACGTTCTAAGTCCTACTGTCGCCATGTAATCGAAGGCTTCCTAGTTTGGCCACTGGGAGACTAGTTCGTTTTCTACCCTAATTGCGAACTATCCAGGAAACCTTGTCCTGTGGTTATGTCTTGGTATCCCTGCACTTTGAACTGTCGGGCTTGGGTGACCCTGCCAGAAACAATTGCTTCCGCCACCATAGTTCTCAAGGTGGGAAAGGCAACATTAGTAATAGTAGAAGGGGCAGCAGTTGTGGGTAAAAGAAAAAGAGAAATTAGTTTAATAAAATTTGACACTGTTTATTGTTAATGTTTTTTTTTTTATGTGAATTTTGTAGGTAGATACTTCGATGAAATTTCACAAGATACCGGCAAATATTGTTTCGGTGTTGACGACACATTGAGGGCGCTTGAAATGGGCTCTGTAGAAACACTGATTGTTTGGGAAAATCTAGACATTACACGATACACACTAAAGAACCATTCAACAGATGGTGAGTAAATTTTTTTTATAATTTTAATTTTTATAATTCAATTATTTATAATTCATTTAAAAAATATAATGTTTGATGTTGTTTTGTGTATGCAGACATGATGTAAAAATATCAAATTTTGGTTGACAAAAACATGCGACATACCTAAATAAGGTCATTGTAACATCACATCATGCCCATATATAGGCACATCATGACTATATATGGGTATACAGCAGTTTTTTGTCAAGGAAAATTTAATAGTCTGGACACACATTTAAAGTCTAGTTGGATGTTATGCACAATTACCCCAATAAATTTAAAAATTGAATTACCAGTGTGTTCAAACATTTTTTTTCTTGATTTTTTCCATGGTTATCATTGACAACTTTTTTTTTTCATTTTGTTAATTGTTTCTTTTAGATGAAAAAGTTCTTCATCTAAACCCTGACCAAGAAAAGGATAAAACTCACTTTATTGACAAAGATGTAAGTTTATTATTCAATTCATTATATTTTTTATCATATACATTATGGTTACCTTCTTAAAATAATGGTAGATATATATATATATATATATATATATATATATATTTTATGAACAGAAAGTACAGTAACACCTCTTTCCATTACGTACACCTCCGTCCGAACAGAGTTCGTAAACGAGAAAAAATTTGTAATCCAGGGAGTTTGAATTTTCACAGCATCTCAGTGTGGAGAGGGTAGGCCTAATCCTTGCCATGGGAGCAATATTTTTTGACTTGGATTTCACTCTTTTCTGCAACAAAATAATACTTTAGAGAAGCCAAAATTACCTGTGCTTACTGTGAAGTATTAATTTGAAGAGATTTCGGATTAAAAACATGGTCATAATGACCAAAAAGAGTATTATTATTTTCTTCATAAAGATTGCGAATCCATGTGAATAGCACCTCCAATGAACAGAAAGTGAGATTTACTGTACAGTATGCTTGAATAAGCATGCACAGCTCAATTGTAGTATATCACAGCTGATATCTTGCTTTAAACTTAGTTTCATGACACTTTATTGGTTTAAATGTTTTCTTTCTTTGTTGCTGTAAAATGTTATATTATTTTTTAATTTTTAAGTGTTTTTGTAGTTAAAAATGATCATTCGTAATGACGTCACCGCCGTAAATGGGAGGTTCGTAATTGGGAGATGTTACTGTAGTGCATTATTGGTGGGAGATATTACTGTAGTGCATTATGGGTAAGGGATAAAAAAATGACTGGTGCAATACAACATCCTTGAACCTGTGTACATATTTTCATTTTAGACTGGTGTTGAGTTAGAGTTATCAGAGGCACAAGCTCTTCTGGAATGGTTGGCAAACAACTACAAAACATTTGGTAAGTCACTAAAAGGCAATATTTTTTAGTAAATTGATGTAATATATAAATTTACTTTTGAAAATTAAAATTTATATTTAATTTGAAAATTCAAATCTTCACCGCTCCAACACAAATCTGTATATTATGCAGATTTGTGGCGCAGCGATGAAGATTTGAATTTTCAATTTTCTAGATTCAAAGTTGGAAGCTAGTCATACCGGTATTTATGTTGGGGATCAATTTGTCAGAACAAATCTTCATTGAATCCATTATTCACCGATTGAAAACTGTGTGTAGCTTAGGGAATTCCCCACATGTACCCAATCTATCATTACTTGTGCATTAAACCCTGTAAGGCTATCAAATTTTCTTTGACAAAACATGTGACATGCCTATATATGGCCATGATGACATCACATCATGACCATACATAGGCACATCATGACTAAATATGGGCATACTATAGTTTTGTGTTTTTTTTTGTCAAAAGAAAAAATTTGATAACCTATACAGCACTTAATGCAATAAATAGAAAAATACATTTCTTAATTGGTAAATTCATAAAAGCATAGCTTAAGCTTGACCTTGTGTCATACTTATTAAAAAAAGAAAATACATAAAAGTATAGTAGAAGTTTGGCATTGCTCAGTTGGTAGCAATTATTGGGTTTTTGGTTTGAATTATTATTGGGTTAGAATTTTCATGAGGACAATAAGTTTTTTCTAAAATATGTATTATACATATAAGCGGTAAGAAAGATACATAATAGTTTGTCTGCCTATGAGTGAAGCAACACTCATTTAAATGCAAACACATCAGCTGTTTAAAATTTTGTAGACAGTGGCTATTGTTACACCAGTCTTAAATGAATTCCTAAGTCTGATTGGATATTATTGTCTCATTGAAATCCATACATACAATAACATCCAATCGGAATTAGGAATATTTTTTTTAAGTGGTGAAACAAGCCTTTGTGTATATTTTACCTGACACAGCAATAACAATGTTGATGTAAAGTCACCTTTTAAGAGAAATTTTCTATAAGATTCTGTTTTCATTTTTGCAGGAGCTACTCTAGAAATTATTACAGATAGATCACAAGAAGGCTCACAATTTTGCCGCGGATTTGGCGGCATCGGTGGCATCCTACGTTATCGTGTTGACTTCCAATTAATGTCCTACGACAACTCGGACCTGGATGATTATGATGATGACTATTAAATAAAGCAAAGTAAATAGAGAGTTGAGAATCGCCATATTGGTTGCATCCTCACAAGGCAAATGTATTAAGACCTGGTTGCTGCTATTATATCTTCCAACATATGTCACAAACAGTGCTCCAAAAATAAGTTTCACCTAACATTCACTGAGTCAGGTTCACTGATTGATGGTTCAGAAAATACATAATTTTTTTAATATACCACTTCTAGTGAAGTGAAGAAAACAGCCAAGTTATAGAATTACAGATAATTGAAAGCCAGTTATAGATTCCTTCTGGGAGTGATATTTTGGCCTACCTGATGTGTTTTCATACCAATTACTCAGTACATTCCCAAATACTTGCGGGGAAAAAATCCTCTGTCGTCATCTAATTTTCGATTAGAAATATGTATGAAATTAAATATGAACGTTTTGGCAAAATATTGTGCATTTGAATACCAGTGCAACTTGATTCAGAAAAGGTCCCTCATTTTTTATTTATGCTTATGAATTTATGATTTCACATCGCTTTGAATATTACAAATAGAAATGATTAAAATCATAAAAAGTTTTATTCTACTGCATTATTCAAACTTGATGAAGCATTCAGTAATATTTTTTTCTTATCCCTGTATTAATCATGGCCTTACCAGAGAGTTCAGTTTCTTAGATAATGTAGGCTTGTGCAAGATTGTAGCTTGCCTAATTTTTGGTGAATATTTTTCCGTCCTGGCTTTCAGCTTGTTTGATTCACAATAATTAAACCATGTCAAATGATGTTTATACATGGAGCTTCCAAATTTACTGTCATTGTATCAACTCTAAAACTCTGTCCACTGTCATATTTTCTTTGACAAAAAAACTGTTGTATGCCCATATATAGTTATGATGTGCCTATATATGGTCATGATGTGGTGTCATCATGACCATATTTAGGATTGTCACATGTTGTCAAATAAAAGTTGATTGTCTGGACAGGACGCTGTAATCTTCTATACCTTTGCTGTTTTCTTTACTGCAGATATGATGCCTTCACCAGTGGCATTTTCTCAAGCTATCTACAATGTGTATCTATACAGCTTTATGAATGGCAGTATCACATTTTCACATTACAGTCACATGCTCATATTTTTCATGGTTATTCGCTGCATCATAACCAATCACAAAATGGAAAACTGAGAATGTTTAGATTTTTAGCAGGTATTTAAGGATGAATCTGGGCTCAAAATTCAGACATGAACATGTGAAAATGGACCTTACAGGCTGATTTACATGTGGGCGTGGCACTTACAGGCTGAGATACATGTGAGAATGGCACTACAGGCTGATATTTTTGAGGATGGTGCTTGAAGGGCTGAGGTACATTTGAGAATGGCACTTACAGGCTGAGATGATAGACACATAATAATTGTTTATGAGTATAAGTTGAAATATTTTATGTGGTGAAAGATAGATATATTCAATGAGTTTACACCTCATAGAATTTAACATTGCTATCTTTTACTTTATGAAAATTTCTATCCAAATAAGAAACATTCATTTTTTTTTTAATTACAGCATCTATTGTATAAAGCTGTCTGTCATTTTTTGGGTGAATTTTATTGTATTACGCTTTACACTGGCAACATTATATAGAAATAGAAAATTCCATAAATTAGGCCTACCCAGTTTTGTTTTTTTTTGGTGCACACAGGGTCAAAATTAAAAAAGAGGTGTGCGGCCAAAATAATCAAGCCCTGCGCTTTCAAGCCTTTACATCAGCACAGTTTATCAACTACAGTAGAACTTAAAAGGGGACACCATCAGAACAAAAAGTTTTCCCTTAATTGGGGTGTCCCCTTAATAAGGATGGCCCAATCAGGGGTTCTATTGTAGAACTAAAATTGCAGAGTAAATAGAAAATATATATTGAAAATTTATGTCGGGCATGGGAAGTACTGGTTGGAACTTAATTTAACCTGTCTAAGTGACCTATAATTAACCAATCAAAAAGCAAGTATCTTAAAGGGTTGATTAATTGCAAATGGAGAATAATGCTTGCAATCGCATGCACATATGTTCATACTTTACATGGCCAAAGACTTTTGTGCCTAAATTGAATTCTCTAGAAGGCCTCATTTTTGAGAATTTTGAAACATGTAAGCAGAACTGGCACTAATGGATTATTAGGTCTACTGGACAAAAAAAATGTAAATGTATAACATCAGTAATCATAGTATTAAAAAAAAAACTACTTAAATTTAACTACAGTAATTGAAATAAAAGATCAAGAATGATATAATAAAGTCCATTTGGTAATTTGACATAATAGTTTGTGTATTATCACAGCAGCATCAACATTTTGCTGTATTATTTGTGCTTTATATGAAGTAAGGCTTTCGAAGAGGATCAAAGATGTACTGCCAAGTAAATCTGAAAAACTAAAAGGTTTAAAAAATGAATTGCTTATTTTTTTATAACCTTCAAGTTTTATAAGCTGTCAACTTTAATTAAAATGAAAAAAAAAATTCCTTTCCATATAACATGCACATACTGTAATAGTCATACAATTCCTATAGTCGTACCATATACCCTTACAGTTCTACCAAGGAAATCTAAGCATTCTCTTGTAAAATGTCATTAAAATCTGATTCTTCTCCCCCACCCACCTCCTTTTTATACCCGATTCACATGAGAATAGATGCTCCCAGTATATTTAGTGTAGATCTAGGGCATATCTTCATGTCTGCATATTAATTGTACCAAATTAGTTTTTTAGCGAGGCTTTAATTTTTCATGTTAAAACGACCAAGGTTTCCAATAAGAATATCTCACAAAATCCTTGCAACATTTAGTGTGTGTCCCATGTAAATATTTGTCTCGTGTGAATTGGGTATCATGTACTTTTTTTCGATGATCGGTTCAAATTTTTGTTAGGTCATTTCCTCACTACTTTTGACCTACTCTATTTTACTATTTTTGTGTGCAAGACAAAATCATTCCAAAAAGTCGGCGATGATTTGTTGATAAGATAGTCTAAAGCTTTGTTCACTCTATCAAATTTTATGTGACAAATAAATGTGATATGCCCATATTTGGGTATAATATGACATTATCATGCCCATTATGTATTTGCTGCTTAAATACAATTTTCTGTCTATAAAATTCTTTCTGAGAAACTTCTGACAATCAAATTATTATTTTTTCAATTTGTCCATTTGTATCAAATACATTTGAAATACATTATTTCAGATAAATGTTTAATAATCAGTTTGGTAATTCATCACAATTTGTAACACCAACTCCCTGGTAACACTTTCTAAACACCAATCTATAGTTGGTTGGCAACAGCAAAGTTAATTTTATTATATAAAATATTTTTTGAGTTATTTTTAATCATGTATATTACGGTGAAGCATGCAAGGTGAAAAAAAGTGAAAATATCTAAATTTAGTTTCATTTTTGTTGCTTGGACACCATCTATTACAGTGAAATATAGATATTTTAGTACCTTGGTAAAATTTATTTAAAAATATAATTAAAAAAATATTTTAACTTTTATATGTTAAACGGTTAACTGCTGAAATAAAAGTGAACTTTTTAATACAATTACTGTATTGGTGAACTAATATAAGGCAACCCTTAACATCAATGGTTTGCTAAGAACTGAGTTTTATTTTGGTGTGCTGATTCATAACATTTGCATATGATACCATTTTAAAAATAGTTACTGTTTAGGTCCTGCATTTTAACATGTTGAATATATAAATGAAGGAAAGTTTGACATTTCTACATAAATACAACGGAGAAAGGTAAAATATGCTAGAATAGAGAAAGGTACCTAAGCAATATGTTTTTTTTTTTTTTTAATCTAACCTTTCCTCCTATGAAAATTTAAATTATAGAACCTTGAGAAAAACTGCACAAAAGATGGTCTATTTAAATCTGTTTTACCAAATATAGTACGTTTTTTATTATTATTTTTTTCTTTTTTGATAAATTCACATTGACCTTGCATGCCTTACCTTAAGAAGATTGTTTATTTTTGGCAGTAACCATGGCAGTGAGTTCTGTCTGATTCATATGCATTATTTAATATATTTCTTTTCTTGCATAAGATTAGGATGAAGAATGTGATATATTTGAGTATTTTGGCCTCTTGGAAGCCAGTATTTTCCAGTCCCTCTAGATATTTATGTGATGGTTGCTGGAATATTAAGTCAATTGAGATTTAGAATATATTTCAAACGACTATTACATTAGTATAATGTACCATAAAACCTGTTTTCAAGTTATTGAAACTACATTAAAACTGAGAGAGTGCAACGAAATAGCCATATTTTACTTAATTTGGTTTGTTGAATTTTTTCCATGTATTTTTTTTTGTCTTTATATTTATCAAATATTTTGCAAAATTATAATAATGCAGTAAACCTAATCATCAAGCAAAAGAAACAAATGGACACGCCGATCAACTTGCAGCCGTGTTTATGTACATGATTCTCATAAAATGTATAAATCTGTGAGTCAAATACTCATTAAACGTTGAAGCAGTGAGATATTCTCATGAAATGTTTGGAGCTGTGAGACAATTCTCACAAGTATTCAAAGATGCAAATGTTCGAAGCAATAATGCTAATATAGGGCGCAGTGGTTTATGAGTCTCCATTTCACCCTCGCTATTACCATTGCAACTACTGTATAGTCGCAATTGCTACAACCGATCGCAATGCGATGCTAGTCTGAATGGGGTATATACCCTATCAGACTACACTCTCTTGCGATCGGTTGCGATGTAATCGGTGGTAATCCAAAACTGATTACTCCCGATCGCAATAAACGAACGCATTCAGACCAACACAAGCAAACTTTACATTCTGGGCCTAGGCCTCCAGTGTCTAGGCCTATGTTGCCTGACCTCAGCCAAACAGTGCCTGTGGAATTCGTTGTGATTCGTTGCGATCAGATTCCGTGGTAATCGGGAGTAATAAAGATTGTAGCACCCAATCGCAACGGGTAACAATTGCGATATCGATTACTATCGACTACTATATTGGTGAGCTTTCACACACGATTTTACTTTGCGATTGGGTGCGATTGGGTGTCGCAATTGCTACAACCGATCGCAATGCGATGCTAGTCTGAATGGGGTATTAATCACGGTGTGTCCCGCTTTTGGACGTTGAGGGGTTGGAATGTCTGACAGCGGTCAACGGTTCTGCGAAATGCCTAGGCAATTAGGTGGTATATGCCAGGTTCTCGAAAATTTTCGTTTGAAATTTAGCGAAAATCATGGTGTCAGTTATCCATTTTACACAGAAAATAAACGCTTCCCTTCAAACACCTCTTTCGAATAAACCCTTCTCTAGAATCGCATAGGATGTCTATTGTTGCAGCCAGGTTCGTAGGCAGGATTTTCGATGGGGAGGTGCGTTTTACAACCGAAGTGGACCTTACGATGGGCGACTGCCTAGAGATCCCTGTGAGGGTGGGACTCTTCTGGAACTCTGACAAATTAGCATTTTAAGGGCCCTTTCTAATGAATTTCTAAAATCCATAATTTGTAATATCCATATTTTCATTCATTTGAGTATTGTCTAGGGACCTACAGTAAAGCAGGAAAAATAGAGAGTGGGGGTGAAGGGAGGAACTTGCACCGACGGATGGTCAATACCACCTCAGCCACACCATGGTTGGGGCTTAGGTAAGACAATTTATGATTATGGCACCTCAAAATGGCCGGAAATGGCACTCTCAGACAAACTTTAATTAGGCCTATGGTTTTTCTTTTTTCTCTATTTCTTTTATAATTTTAGGGGGATCTCCCTTCCCCCCTCCCCCCTTGAATCCACCACTGTGAAATTGTAATTTTTCATGATCTTTACATTTGTAGGCCTAAAGATGACATGGATCAATCTGCAATCACTGGAGCTGATAATTTCCAACAGATTTCGTAGCACATTATTAAAAAATCAACGGGTAGCAGAGCGGGCAAAAAAAAAATGTTATGCATATTATAGCATTTCGCGATAATTTTAGAAACAATTTTAGTGAAATAACAGGTTATAAAAATTGGACTTTTTGAAATTTGGTGGTCCAGGGGCAGGAGGGGGTTTGTGAGAAAAGCGACAAAGTAGCATTTTGAGGGTCTTTACATAATAGATTTCTCAAACACATAATTCATGAATATTTCATTTAAATTTTCATTAATTTGGGTGTTTTTGCTACCTGAAAAAGTAACGTTATTATGTCCTGTACACCTGCAGGCCTATAGATAACATTATTCATATTATATGGACAATCTGCAGTCACCGGAGACGATCAATTTCTAACAAATTTCATACCACATTATTAAAAATCAACAGTTAGATAAGCCGGCAAATATATAATGCAATGCATGCTATAGCATTTTGTGATAATTGGGAACGATTTTGTGAAATCATACGGTTTTAAAAAGTAGACCTTTTAGAATTTGAGAGAGGAGGATACGTCCGCAGCCTCTGCACCCCCACCCCTCCCCCCTGCCTATGGGCCTGAATACATTATAATTTCAGCGGCGGATTCCAGGCCTAGCCTAGGTCTAGGTAGACCCTAAAGCCTAGGCTATGCCTGGCCTAGTTAATAATACAGGAACTTGTACCGCGCCTTTTGTCAAGGCAGTTAAGTGAGATTTCTTTAGGAAAACAATGTTTCTTGAGAAGCCGACGAAGTCGAGGCATTTAGGTATATATCTAGACTTAGGCCTTGTTTTTTGACAAGCCCGGGCACATGTACCTACTACCCTAGCCTTATCCATAGCCCACTGTTTATTAATGATTTCAAACACTTAATTTTTTTATTAATTGTAACGCTTATACGCACCCCCCTCCCCCGTTCAAAATTGTGAATGGTTACTTGTTGACACCGTCCAAAAAAGCTGTGAAACTTTAATTCAAAATAGAGGGCGTCCACTTGAGTTGCACTGCCATTGGAGTTTTGCATTGCCACCAATGTTTTGCACTGTGACTCAGTTTTGCACTGTGGCTGTGTTTTGCACTGACTCTCAGTTTTGCACTGTTACTCTGTGTTTTGCACTGCTGACTCAGTGTTTTGCACTGTGACTCTCAGTTTTGCACTGTTACTCTGTGTTTTGCACTGCTGACTCACAGTTTTGGCGCTGCTGACTCTGTGTTTTGCACTGTGACTCTGTTTTGCACTGGTGACTCTGTGTTTTGCACTACTCAGTTTTGCACTGTGACTCTGTGTTTTGCACTGCTGACTCTCTGTTTTGCATTGGTGACTCTCAGTTTTGCGCTGCTGACTCTCAGTTTTGCACTGCTGACTCTCAGTTTTGCGTTGCTGCCAATTGTATTTTGTCCTTTTGGCGTTCCATACTTTTGGCGTTCCATAGGGAACCTGGTGGCGATTTTTTTCCCCGTACGAAACATTTGCATGAAACTTCACTCGGGCCATCTCGGATTGACTCGAGTGAGTACGATACGAGGAACAAGAGCAGACACTTCGCAATGTCGTGACGCTCGAGTTTTACTATATTGCTCTTTCTATGTTTACCTACGGTAGGCCTATGAAATTTCACTGACTTATGTGATGTACGTCACTGTGTAACTAACCGTGACCTTCTTGGATGTTATTAAATGTTAGTATATTATCTACAACAACAACAGCTAGTACCTCCTGTTATACAGTGTAGATAGGTACAGTTATACCAAAGGCTAGAGAGAAAGAGGATAAACTATTGGCCTAACTACAGGCTGAGGTCTTACCTAGGCCCCTCCTTAAACTAGGCCTAGGGTCAGGCTGACACAACAGTCACGCTTCACATACTGACATGGACTGAAAGGCATTACATGTAATTAACTTGGTCTAGCCTTGTAATCAAGAACCTGCCGATTACTATGCCTAATATTAATAACTAGCTCATTTTTACATTCATTTGATGTTTTGCCATTTTGGCAGGTCTTATGGCATCCAGTACCGTATATTAGAGCTGCCTATTCTCAGCTCTTCTCTTAATTTGAAAATAACTGTCATTCTGTTTTATTTGATCAGATGAAGAAAAACGCGCTTTTCCTTACTCTTTGTGCTTTTCCCAGAAAGCGTTTTTAGTAGGCCTAGGTAATTTATGCAAAACCTAGGCCTAACTAAAAAATTAAAATTGTCATAGTATGTAACTCAAGTTAAAATAACACTTTTCATTACTCGTGCACCTTAATCAAATATTATATGTCATTTTAAACGACCCATTGGTATTAACACGGTAACATCAATGTATTTAAAAAAATTAGACAGCGACGTTCTCTCAGAAGTTGTTCTGTAGACGTTTATCTGTTGATGACATTTTGACCTCCTGAATTCTGCAATGAGACTTTCGGGTCGATTCAGCCGAGACGGCCCGAGTGGAGTTTCATGTAAATGTTTCGTACGGAAAAAAAAATCGCAACCTGGTGTAGCGTAAAGTACATAATTTGCGTCGCGCCATCCAACAAGAACGCGTTTCTCAAATATCAAACGGGAAAGTTGACACTGTGTGGAAAGAACTCAAGAAGAAGAATACCTGTAGCACCATCTGGTTCATTATGGATACGATAATCGTTATTTTAGGAATATGTTCGATCTTAGTGGCTTTGATTCTTTTTATCGTTACAAAGGTCGGGAAAAGTAAGACAATGGTTTTCCTTGTTATATATGAATAGGCCTAGTTGCAGTATGGTTTATTATAGATTGGGTTAGACTTAGGCCTAGGGCCTAGGCCCTTTTCTGTGCCTGCTGTCTTGACTTGTTGTCATTTCCCTCCCTCAAGTTGTGGCGGACATGGACCCAGCCTAGACCTATTTGTTAGTTTATGAACTCCCTGGTTTAGGCTATGCGTAAATCAAGATCTGATCCAAACTGATATTGTCCAGCCTTTTTCAGGAATCGATAGACATCGTGAAGTGATGACAAACATTGCGAATCAACGGTGCGTAACGAACAGAAATAAGATAAGCTTTTTTGGGCTGATTTTCTGACATCATGTTATTTTAAAAATCATAACTCCATAACAGGGCGTCGTATCCAAATATTTTTCCAGCAAAATGTTCTTAAAAGACCAGTCTACACCACTATATGATTGAAAAAATATTGAAAAATGTTTTTGACCTCTGAAATCAAGATGGAAAAAGAAAAGCCTATCTAAGTAGTGTATTAAAGTAGGACAGTGCAGTAGTACTAGTAATACTCTGGACTAGCATTGTTTTAGTTACCATGAGAGTTTCCTGTATTAAAAACATGATTTACTATACTATACTTCTTTATAAAACATAACTTGTACTTTATAATAAGAGAAATCTGTATATTATCGGTACCTGGAACAGTAACAACACGAAAGTGCTATGCTGCTGCACTGTAATTATACATTTTTTTCTTTGTGTCTTTGTTTTTATGTCATAAATTGTTTGGCATCATTTTGGTTTTGTCGTTTTACCTTATTGCCGTTTTGGTCTATTGCCGTTCTGGTCAAAATGTGTTGCCGTATTGGTCATTGCCGTTTTGACTTATTGCCATTTTGGTATATTGCCATTTTGTCCAGAAGCCAATAATACAGTATAGGCAAGGCCTATGTGTTTTATTATTGCTGTCCTAGGGCCTAGGCCTATATGTCCACCATTTTTGGCTATTATTTATTATAGGAAGAATTCAATTTCTGTCACAGCTGGAACTCAACTTCTTCCAGACCTAGGCATAGGCCCCAGTATAATAATTAATAGACGACTTTAAATAGTCATTCAATAGTGCCAGACAACTAGTGGTGGTGAGTCTTGCTGTTCGATGTGAAGGAAATATAAAACAGATTTTTAATGGTGTGACTATCCCACTGCCTTTTTTAAAAATAAGATTAAAACAAAATAAAAATGTAATAAATCATCACAAGTCATTTTTTTCATCAGGCAATAAAAATGCAGAACAAGAAAGACCTGGTAGAGCAGCCCCTGTTGCCTGTGACAATGCTGCAGGGGGTAAGTAACTGTGAAAATGATCCTGGGTTCGAATCCTGTGAAAGACCTTGAAGTTTATTATACTTGTGCCATGTTGCAATTTGCAAGTATAGTCGCAGTTGGATGGGAAATGAAAGATGAACATATATAAAAGTGTATACATTCAAATATGTAGCAAATACCCAGCCTGTGATTTGCCCATAGTGGGATATGAATGATATATCATTTTGCCTATTGGAAAATCCCAAATATTTTTAGTGTGTACAGAGACATCAGTTTTGTATGTTTATATTTATTTTTGAACTGAAATATATATTATATAAAACAACTGAGTTAAACCTGAGCATTTCTCGCAACAAAAAACTGTCCTACGAACTTCAAAATGACTTGTTTACTTGTTTGTATAGATGCTGGCTAAAAAACAAACAATATAAATGTCGATGATGGGAGAGACTATAATAGCCTCACCATGTATTTAAAAATAAAAAAGAATATATTTCACTTGATTATAGTGAATAAATTTAATTCAGTATATATTTTGAGGAGAAACAATATGTTTTTTTATATCTTTCAGGAGTCAGAAGAGGAGCAAGGAGAAGAGGACCGAGGATGGTGAGAGAACAAGTTGAAGACGATGATGACAGTGAAGGTGAGCATGCAATGTGATGTGTGATTCAGGTGTGTAGCCTGCTAAAAACCGGGCATTGCGGACGATGGTCGTCGGCCAACGCGATTCTATATAAAACGCAACACGACGACAAATGTGCCACGGATCGTTTTTAATGACGATCAGTTGAGACTACCAACGACAATCAGCAGACGGTGTCATGTCATCTATCGCTCGTAGATGGTCGTACGACCATCGTAATCGTACGACGCATTGAGTTCCCAGCCTAACACTTTTATTTCAATCTTAACCACAATTTTTAATTTATGTATTTATGACAAGTTTCTGGAAAACAAGGTTTCAGACTCTTCACAGAACCAAAGTGATCATTGAAAACTAGAGCCTATGCTGTTATTATTGTTGCTATTATTGTAATTAATTGTACTGAACAAAAATCAAATGTATTTTATTACTGTTAAATCAACCAATACATTGACATTAACCTGTATAGATGAATACTATCAAGTTATTATTAACCATATCATCTTCATCATCATCATTTTCATCATCATCATCTTCATCAACATCATCAAAATTATTAATTGATTATTTTATGTTAAATATTATAGAGTATATTAATAATTTAATATAATGGTATTATTGATGATCTTTATTTTCTCTTATCCTAATTAGAAGAGGAAGATGACATGTTGAATTTTAACTTAAAGATTGGTAAAAAGAAGCGGGAAAAGATGGAAAAGAAAGAGGAAAGACGAAGAATGCGAGAGGTGAAGTAAAATAAAATGATTGTATACGGTTTATCATGTACATTCTAGTCAGTATTCCATACGGGATGCCAAACGACACACTACCTGTTCTGTCATACAAAATCGTGTTTGTAAGCGACAAATCATGTTTTGTAATAGACGAAACTTATTTGGTCTTTGCAAAACATGTTTTGTCTATTACAAAACCATGTTTGTCTATACAAAACATGTTTTGTAATAGAAAAAACATGTTTTGTAATAGACAAAACATGTTTTGTAAAAGACAAAACATGTTTTGTAAAAGACAAAACATGTTTTGTAAAAGACAAAACCATGTTTGTTTGTACAAAACATGTTTTGGAGACAAAACCATGTTTGACTGTACAAAACATGTTTTGTAAAGACAAAGCCATGTTTGTCTGTACAAAACATGTTCTGTAAAAGACAAAACCATGTTTGTCTATAAAAAAAACATGTTTTGTAATAGACAAAGCATGTTTTGTAATAGACAAACCATGTCTGTCTTTAAAAAACATGTTTTGTAATAGACAAAACCATATTTGTGTTTTACAAAACGTGTTTTGTAAGAGACAAAACCATGTTTGTCAGTACAAAACATGGTCTATCCCCTGAAAAAGGTAGTGTGTCAGTGTTCTCCCTAGCATCATGGGCAAGCGTCATGGTGAGTGTTAAGTCCACCATAGTTGGGACTGACACAAGGTATTTTTAATAATTAGAAGGCATTGAAATGTCCTAAATTGCACTTTAAGTCTATATAAAAACAGGGAACAGTTGATATAGGCATCATAGAAGATGTTTCAAGCATCATGGCCAATTGTCAAGCATCATGGGGAAAGTCCCAAGCATCATGGTACCATGATGCTTCAAGGGCCTGGGGCTTCCTAAGGTCGCCTTACGACACAACTTGTTATGCCATATAATTCCACTTTGTATGTCCAATTTTATGTAAATATAGCATTTCCAGTTAAATTTGCTTGACTGTAGCTATGATTTTTTTCTTCAATGTTTTATGAATGTGCAATAAATACCTTAAATATTTATTGCCACAACCAATTATTATGGTATTTATAATTGTTGTTGTTGTTGATATTATTACTATTATTATTTTTATTTTTAATATTATTATTATTATTATTATTATTATTAATACACGTCTTGTAGATGGAAGAAGAAGACCGTAGAGAAAGAAAGGAAAAACAAGAGAGGGAAATGGAGAAGCTTCGAGAAAGGGATAAATGTGCTGAGGAGGAGGAAAAAGAAAGGGTACAATGACTTGCTATATCTTTTAATATTTAAATTTATTGTATAAGCCAATCAAAATGCACAGTAGTGGAGGAGGCTGCACTATGTGCTGGTTTGAATATGTATCCGATGACCAGGGGTGATAATAACATCGCCAGCACCTTGTATGCATTGGAAAAAGGTGCGGTATAAATCTCTATATTATTATTATTATAATTGGAGATAATCTGCCAATTGTATGACTCCATTTAATGTCTAATGCCTTTGATTTTAAAACTGTGTTTACATTGGATAAATTTTGACCAAAATGGGTAACTTTACCTTGGTTAAATCATACTGTTTTATACGTTAAATATGCAGTAGAATTTGTGCTCTGTGTACAATATCAAATATTATGTAACAAATAAGTGTGATGTGCCCATATTTGGATGTAATATGACATCATCATGCCCATATTTGGACACATCACACAAATTTGTCACATAAAATGTGACAGTGTGAGCAAACCTTAAGATTGTAAGGTTTTGCGCATTGCCATAAATTGTCATTCTAATCTTGTATGTATTCTGTGACTGTATAAGTTGAAATATATATTTCATTTCAGGAAGAAGAGGAACGGTTACGAAAGGAAGAGGAAGAAAAAAGGGAATATGAAGAATATTTGAAACTTAAGGAGAGTTTTACAATTGAGGAAGAAGGACAAGAAACGGTCACATCTGTAGAGGAGGTAACTATTTTATTTTATATGGTTTTAATTACTCTCATAGTTGTCCGAAGGAGAAGTCAACGGTATTTCAATGTTTGTGTGTCCTGTGTTTGTGTGTCCTTCAGGGCGCATAACTCAAATCTACTGGACCAATTTACTTTACAAATTTTCACTCAAATTCAGTGCTGATCGGAATTAAGATGCGGATTTTAGAGTGTCATTTATATATTTTCCGGCCGCAATAGACCAACTTGAGCAGGTCTTTCGACCATGTCGATTGGCTAGGCCGAGCCGATCGAACCAGACATACCTTTTGTATATTCATTACATAGACAATTAGAGTCTGGTAATCAGTTTAATGATCTTTTTAAAATAAGTTCAATTAATCAACTTAATTATAGTCATGTCTGGAAAACGAAAAGTGACTATGAATATTTATACTGTACATTAAATTTAGCATAAAATGTCACAAAATAAAAAACCCATTTCTTCAAAATTTTATTGTTAATACCTTGTCCCAATAAAATGATAGACACAGGAATTAGTCAGTACGTCTTATCTCTTTTTTTTTTAATACGCAGATTTCATCTTTGTTCCCAAAGCTATTATGTACATGTAACCAATAGCTCATCACCCCAATAAGGTACCTTTTCAATGTTTTTTCACATTTATGGTTTCAGGCGGAAAATATGCTACAACAGTTTGTTGATTATATTAAGCAGAAGAAAGTAGTTTTATTAGAAAACCTGGCTGCAGAATTCAGCATTAGAACACAGGTAAGCTGGAACTTACGGGTGATTTCATCATTGACATTAATCAACATGCTATAACTTTAAAATGTAGACATCCTTAATTCTTCATCTGTGATTGGGTGTTCTCTACAGTAAATCCTTGAATAAGTACCGCTCTCGAATAGCGCAGCTCTCAAATAAGCACTGCACCAAACATGATTTTTTTTTTTGCTAAGCGCCGCTCTTGAAGAGGCGCTGTGACCCTTTTTTGAGATTATTCTATTTTGAATAAGTACTGTGGCGCTTAATCAAGAAACACTTTGTTAAACAGGGTTTTAAAGACAATGTAAACAGTGTTAAAATGAATAAATTCAATTCAATATATTTACAGTTTTTCAATCAATGTATCGTGAACATACATAAGTCATAAATTTAGATAATAAAATTCAATTAATTTGGATCAAGTTATAGAAGCTGTGTGGCTTGTCTCAATTGACCCTTACAAGAAAGTACAAAATAAGATAAATAAGATTACTGAAAAACACACATGATATACGCACATGCACACACACGATGAAGACACAAACATATCTTCGTAAACATGTTTTTATGATGATGTAAGGCCTACAGTATGATAGGCCAAACAAACTACGGGAATACTGTAGGATAAGTAACATGGGAACGAGAATGGAAAAGCACCACGCCAATATTTTTTAATAAGCGCCGCACTGAACTCTCCACAGTGGCAGCGTCGCTTATTTGAGGATTTACGGTATGTCTAATAATATAGCCCATTATATAAATGTCTCAATGAACATACTTTCTTATAGCAAGGACACTAAAAAGTTAAAAAATATAGGTAGTAAAGCCATTTTTGGCTAGAAAATCCCTTGTTTTTTAAGGCCAGACACCGATCATGTGTAAATATAGAACTGAGCATAAAGTGGTATAAAAGCAGTGCATTAATGTTTTTTGGAAGCACACTGGAAAATCAAAGTTTGCTTGCAGCCCTCAGTGTTAAATCAAAAATTCGCTTTGGCCTACCGACCCATTTTTATGCCTACTCCTGTATAAAAGTAACAAAATGGAGATTAATAGAGAAGTCTCATTAAAATGTACTGTATTCAGTGTTATAGTACATCAGCTCATGTTACTGTAAAGTGTTTTTTCTTAAACGAATATTGGTTGAAGCATTTAACTTATTACTTTTAACTTGCGTAGGATGCAATTAAACGTGTTCAGGAACTACAAGAAGAAGGTCGATTAACTGGTGTCATTGATGACCGTGGAAAGTTTATCTACATATCCCAGGAGGAACTTGATGGTTTTGCAAGATTCATTCGCCAGCGAGGGCGTGTGTCTATCACCGACCTTGCTGAGGCTAGCAATACATTAATTAACCTTCAACCGGATACTATAAATGTAGAACAAGTTGTTAGTTGAGGAACCATCTCAACATCAGGAGTGCTAATTTTCCTACCCTTTTGTGTTCGCGGTTTGTTTAAGGTCAATTTTGGTCGCTGTCTCACTTCATTACCTGATGGGCTCGTTTGTTCATTTTTTTCATTTAATTTATTTTTTCATTACACTTATAGTGCATCAATGATTATTAATTAAAATTATTATTGATATAATTTTTTAATCATTTAAATGTCCAAACTTCATGTAGTTTTTGTATTGATGACATTCTTCTTGTTTATTATTACTTCTGTTTTAGTATGTATTACATTTTTATTTGTACACTATTGTTATAATGGTATTAAAATAGTTATAATAAATAGTAAAGGACAATGTTTAATTACTATTTTTATTGGATTTTGTTACAAGAGTATTAATGGATGATGATGGTATTTTAATACAATTTTCCATATAGTATTAGGAAGTTGTTTTTAATTTTCTTTTTTTTTTCTTACTTATGGGGTAATAGCCTGATGTTATTTAACATTAAAGATGAGGATAGAAAGTATAATCAGGCAGGCACATGTCATCAGTGTGAGAATAATTCATCTAAAGCTGGCATGAACCAGTGGGGGCACCAGTAAGGGGTGGGGGGCCTGGAACCTCCCCCATCGTCCTACACCACAACGAGGTCGTTGACCAAAAATGTTAATTTCCTTATCCAACTATCATTATTTTTATTGCCATTCCCAAATATTGTGGTCTTAAAGCACATTTTTGGGCCATACTAAGTCATAAAAACTCTACCCATTAGCCCAACCAGGATTTTTTATTCCGGGACCCTGACTGAGGTTCTAGTCAGCCCCTTGGTTCAGATCACGGTGTCGGACATGTCGGACCCACTTTTTCTGGAGCCACCACTACATTACAGCTCCATTAATAGCAGTAACATTCTGGGTGTCTGCCATAAACCAACTATTCCAAGTAAAATGTTGGTCAGGAGAAAGAAAACAGATTACTCTATTATCAAATAAGTACCATGGTGATTATATACAAGTCTCCCTCTAACTAAAACCACTTCAGGGACTGGGATTTCCATGGTATAGCCGCTTTGGTCTCTAATTTGAATAATAAAGATAAAAAACATTTGTTAAGTTGGGAACTGAGAAAAGTAGTCTTTAATTGGAGGTGGTCTTTAATTAGAGGGAGACCTGGATAACACTTTCTGTAAGTTTCAGTGCAGCACTTTTTCAAATGTAGTGCTTATTTGAAAGTGTTGCTGATACTGAATTGTTAAAATTTTACTGTGTGTTGTACATAGGCTTTTCTGCTATAAGACTGCAATTTTAGCATTATTAATCTGTGAGAAATAAGTTGTTTAATATTGTCCTGATTCTACAAAACATAAAGGCATGTTGAGTAATATATACTCTTGAAAAACTGCCCCAACATTTATTTAAAATAGAAAAAAATATCTATCACAAGCGTTTTAGACAGTGGGGCTTATGATGTTCGGTCATTTACGTTGCTTAACTCAATATTTTCTCATGATAATCATAGTTAAGTAGACATGTTTTACTTTCGTGATATAAAGACCAGCTGATGTAGTATCCAATTGAGACTACAGTCACAACCAATCAAAAGAAGGAGAATACTGAATAGTTACATTTCAACAAAGATAGAAAAATATGTTGACCCATCAACAGTATGATGTGGGATGCTCCTTAAAACCCACTTTTTCGATTTGCACTTTCACCATTAAATTGTTTAACTTAAAGTCTTTTCAACCCTTTTGTTGATTGTTAAGCGCTTAGAGGCGTCCAGTATTTTGCGCTATATCAAATTTAACATTATTATATTATTATTTTGCTCAATTGTAAAGAAAATACTAAGAAAACATTTACATTAATTTTACATTTTAAAATCTAAGGTGATGAATAAAATATTTAATTTCAAGAAATAGAAGTGAGACTTCTTGTAACTGCGTTTGATTATGGCATTTCCACACCTCCGTACCGTACTATTATTTTACAGTACCATACGGCGGGTGATCCGAAAGATAGTACCAACATTGTTATTCACACACTTTGGCATTGCTTGACCTCTAGAGTGTACACTTTCTGTAGTTTGTTATATACAAATTAGTAAATGTTCAGCTGTTACCTAGAATGAAGAGAATTTGTTTTTTCCCTATATTATTCGGTATTCATGGACAGACGGGGGTATGCACTCTATTGAGTTACAGCCCTAGTTTTACTGTACAATTGTTTTAGTATCAAAGAGTAATTCTATATACTGTACTCTCAAATCATATATTTATATTTAACCCCTGGAAGTCTAGAAATTCGTAGTACAGTAATGGTCTTAAAATTCCAACTTCTTGTGTAACAACATTAAGGAGCAAAAAACAAGAAAAACTACAAGGAATGTTTTCAATTCAACACATTTAATTAATGTTAGGATACATGAAACATAGTTGTGGGAATGGCATAGAAGCCAAGGAATGTGGCAGTTGTCCCTTATGTACACTACACAGGTAAAATAATTTAATACATACAGAAAATAAAATTTATGATAATGAGTAAACAATTGGAAGGTTCAGCAATGTATAACTTGCGTATAAATAAGTAAAACATCTTTATATACAGCATAGTTACAGCATTCTCTACTCCACCTAAATTAAACATAGGCCCTCTGTTGAAAATACCAAAATTGAATTGCTCAATTTGTACTGTATATTAAATAAGTCTACTGAAAATAGGAACAAGAAACAGTTTCTTCAAAGTGGAAGGATGTTTATATAACGTCATCATTGTCTTCTGTAGAGACTTCTTGCATGAAGTATAGTTATGGGATAAAGCGTCTGTATATCATTGAAAAACTTTTTTTTTTTTATCTAAGACTTCTAAAGTTATTCTTTAAACAATCAACATATATTTTGAGAGCATTTTTGTAGATTTTTTGTTTAGCAATATATTAAAAGAAAATAATATCAGTAAAACGGAACGTTTAACCAAGATGTTCTTAAATATATTTGTAAGATTTTAAAAACATTAAAATAGCATTTCTTTCATAGAATTAAAAGAAGTTTATTTCTAACAAATTATACATAAACTTAGGAACCTGTCCGTTATAGATATTTAGTAATGTTAAAATATTGAGATGTTTAAAAAAATTCCCGAATGTTTTTATATATGGTGAATAAACTTAAATTCTCTGGCGGCACATTACTGTCGTTTAATCAAAATCAAAACAAAATCAGGTGAAAAAAAGGCGGCCCGAATATCGTCATAACATTATTAGATTAGAAATAAAAAGGTGTTGATAAGAGAAATATATTAATTCTAATAATACTAATGGATTTGTGGGTTTTTCTTCTGAGATACAGTTTTGGTAACTGGTTCATCTAAAAAGTTCCATGATTCACTCGTGAGACTAGAGTTTACAGAGTTACATGGAAATTTAATTTTGAAGTTATAAATTATAATTTTTAACTTTAGTCTACGTATATTACTTGATGTGTTTAATGATTAGTATGTGCATGAACCTGTCACAATATTTTGTTTTGTCACCCATCGTTAAAAGTACTAAATCATAAATCATTTTTGCGGATAATAAATACGATATCAGTGGTGAAAGGTATCACTTTTATTCACTGATACTTCTCAAATTATTAACATAAATTGCCAAAACAAAATAGGGCCCACTACAGACATCCATTGTCGGCAAATAGCTACTCATTCCTACCTTCCACGTAAATAAAAAAAAAAACAGGGGTATTCCACTATTTTCAGTTTAAAAGTATTATGCCTATGAGTAATAATTTATTCCAGAACAGTGGTGAATGTTACAAAAATAATATAAGACATTCCTTATTTTGTGAAATATCATTATTATTATGCTTTTGAAAAATACATTTTCTCTGTAAATGTTTTTCTCCAATCTATTCTTCCTTTGGATTTCAGTATCCCTGTAAATTCTGATGGAGTGACTGAGTTCTCAGTTGCTTGTTGGCACATACGTAATGTTTTACTTCCACTTATTTTAGAATTTTCTTTTGCTTTCACTCTACTTTGTCTTTTGACATGTTGCATCTTCTTCAGGAAGTCGTAGCATGTGATCAAGCCACCGAATCATAAACCTTGGAATAATTGTTGTTTGGTGAATATACGCATAAGTTGGGCTAATTCAAGATCAGTTGGAGTAGACCTCTAAATAAATATGAATTGATGCAATAAGTCAATAGGATGGTGGAACAAGTGAACTGTATAGTATATCAAACCATGTGTGTAAATTACTGTTCTATAAATTATATCTTTTTGTGACCTCCTCAGAATAATCGTGGTACGTAATAACAAATCTTGTATTCTTAAATATGTATTGTTCCATACGTACTAGCATTACAACACAGTATACCAAAATAAGGAAGACCCCACAAACTCCACATTACTTTCATAAAACTTGATCAAAGTAACGAATTAAAAACTACCACACAACAGCAGTAAACATAGAAAATTGTATACATAGCTATTATAAACAAACATTTCAGTACCAAGTAATTCTTATTACCGGTATAATTGGAACTAGGCGTACAGCTATTGACTTGTGCAAGAAACATATAAAAAATCTTAATACTGTAGATGCGATCACTGACAATGATCTGGCATAAGTGGAGCACCACCATAACTGGCAGTAGCCAAAACATATCCCTCAAACTTAACAGCTTCATGGATCCGTCACTGAGGATATCTGGCTTTTTATTTCATCAGGCCACTGACAACCTTACACGAAATGAACATTGTGAACTACAGAGGAGTCTTTACACAAACCCATGAAAAAGCTACACTGATCATTATGGAGGAGATACAAGTGATTTTAACTATGGACAGCGCATTGGTTAATATTTGGAAAAAGAAAACCTTTTTGCTTCTAAAACCATTTTTATTAACAATACCAACCGGTCTAGCGAGGAGTTGGATGAGGCTGTGAGTTTCACGAGCTGTCACCATATAGACAGACCGATAAGTGCACTGTCACAAAAATATTTATAAATTATTAAATCGATTCTTTAAAAAAAATACCGGTAGGCTTATATAACAAGTGCCTTAAGAATACACTCCCAGTGAGAAATAAAGGCAGGAGCATAACCATGTCACGTAGAAGGTGTTTGACTATTGTATATGGCGCAGCAATCGCTAAGGTCAAGTAATTAAGACACAAGATCAAAAATACTATAACAATACCATTTAGAAATATATTTTCTCCATGAGCAATACAGTATTTAATTAAACAACCAAAAAGCTGATATCCTTGTCGGCGCACAAGCGCTCTTTATCGCATAGTTCCATGAACTTTTCTTTTAGGCCTATTTGCAAACTTGCTTTAATATCGTTCTCATCAGTATCGACTACCGGTACGTATTAACCTCTGGACAGGTCAATATATTGCACTTTTCAAAGTGGCAAATGCAGTTTGACACCCCATGTCCAAATTGACACTCTTTAATTCAGCAAGTAACCATAGCAGCGTACCGTAGCGACACGTTTATGTATTAGGTTTCTGGACTTAAACTGCCCTTTCAATTGATTTAATAGTATCATACTATTTTTGCATATGCAAGTTAATATTCACTTGAATGTGACGCTTGCATTATTAGTATTTTCATTTCACCAAAACCAAAATACATGAAATGTGACATACCGGTGAGACAAGAGTGAAAAAAATAAAGGACGTGGAACTGGATTAGCCATACTGTATATGAGATAGGAATCAAATGAAATCCCTAGAAAACGATGAAGTCCAAAGGAACGAAAAGTAGTAAGGCTACATACTGTAGCACCTATAATGACTGAGAAGAAAAGAAATTGGTGGAGGTCAGACGGAAGAGTTGGAAAGAATTTAAATAAGTGGTTAACAATCGACGAAGATGGAGAAAATTCGGTGAAAGCTCTGCAAGTCACTATAGGCACGAGGATGAAAGATAGATAGATAGATGGATATAAACAGATAGATGGGTGGATGGACAATTGGATGAATGGATAGAAGATAAATATAATATAGGGGTCTTGATTATGTACATTCATATTAAATTTTACATAGGATGAGATTCTGAGAGAAGAAAATGAGTGTTATCAATTTGGTCATCGTTTAACTTTGTCCTTAGTTTTTTCCGTTTTACCAAATCCAGGGGCATTTGGGGGTTGTAATTTGGGAAGCGTTTGCAACTTTTCCCTGGAATCCCAGCAGGAAAAGTAGGAACACGAAGCATGTGAGTGCCGTCTCGTACCATAGAATTTTGCACCAAGGTAGGCCTATCATCCAAATCAGAATCCGAATAACTTAGTTTTAGATTGTCTTCATCCTGTCCCTCGTTTGCGTTATTTTCGGCATATTTTGTTTCGGAAACCGCATTCTCTGTGCGTTCCTTGTTCGGTTTCGGTTGAACTCCCTTTTCACATTGTTCGTCAAATGTCTCCGATTTTACTAACTGTTCCCCAGCAGTTGTTAGTTTTGAATTCGACCTGTTCAGGTCAAACCACTCACCAATCTCCTGGTTAAACCTCTTAACCCTGTTATGGTTCCAATGGTTGTGGTAGAAATCTGACTCATAAGGTGTACTTGCGTGTATAGGTATCGACCGCAATCCGGGTGGAATAAAGGGACTTGTGTTGTATGAATGTTGGTGAAACGGTATTTTTTGATGACTGGCAAAATAATCGGGATAATTGTAGATCGAATTGTAGCAGTCGTCGCGGTGACTTGGATATATCTGGTGCGACTTTTCTTGCCACATCTTAGCGCGTTGGTCATGATAGTAACGTTCAGCACCGATTCGTCTCAGCTTATTTTCATTTATTCGGGTCCCATTTGGCGGCATATTATGTAACGGCATTGAACTTCTAAATGATAAATCTGTATGAATAATGAAAGAAATTTGTTATACTATATTTTATTTATTTCTTCTTTACCCTGGGTAACCCAGTGCAACAAGCGTTGCTATCCTCCAGGGCCCAGCAACACACATAAATCAATAACATTTCAAAAAACCAATAATTCATTAAATATTTTAAAAATATTTAAAATCAATAAATTAATATAAATTGGACCTGCTGTACTACTTATTTAAAATAAATGTGGAAAAATGCATAAAATAATTTCAATTATTGGGTTCAATAGGTTGAGTAATAAAGTTTGTATCCTCTGAATTGAAATCTTCTGAACTACCTCTTGTATGCAGACTATTAACTCTGACTAAATAAGTGAAAACACGAAGGTGATAGCAATCGCAAATTATTTATGTATGCATAAATATAAGTTGATGACGAAGAGGATGGTGACGGTCGGTGAGAACAGTGATGACATGATATTATATAGCCAGGCCTGGTGATTGGGACCTACAATAATGATGATCGTCGTGATCATAGATAAATATGATGATCATCACATGAATACAGCTTCTTCCTAGGCCTAAAACTAGACATACCTTGTTCATTTCCGTACAGTGCTTTGAATGCTGCAGATGGACTACCGGTTAACATGCAAGCGCCCTCGATAATTCTAAAAAGTAGAATTAAACTTTGTGAAATTTTGATTAGATATATCATATTTTTAGTATCATTTATTACATTATTATTGCTTATTACTACTATATTCATTATTACCGCACTAGACCTATTGTTTTAATTTTTAATCCCTGGTAAACTTTTTAAAGTAAGTTAGTACTATATTATGTTTTTTTTTTTTTTTTTTTTTATTGCATATCTGCAGCTATTTAGTGTGAACAGGGGATATTGTTCAAAATTCTCCTTAATCATACAATCTTTTTTGTGTTGTTTTGATTTGTTTTGATTTTGTTGGTTTTAATGATTTTGATTGTTGTAGTTTTACTGTGAATGCACCATTGATGTGATGTGTGCCATTTTCCAAATAATAATAATAATAATAATAATAATAATAATAATAATAATAATAATAATAATAATAATAATAATAATAATAATTAGGGAGGCCATGATTCATGAATCATGGCCTCCCTCTCTTTATTCGGAGTAACGTTCATTTTATGTTATTTAAATATAATCAGTGCATCTGCAGGTCTGCTTAATATTGAAGTCCTAAAATTGACGCAATTTAAAAAAAAAAATTGTTAATTAATTTATTAATTTTAATAATTTAACTTATTGAAATATACAAATTATTGTCCTTTAATGTTCATGGTTAAAGGGTGGAAGTGATCTTTAATAATTCACTAATACATTGGGTTATGCTGGTTATGCATTAAAGATATTGACAAGGTCCAGCATTTGCACAGAATAAGACTGCCAGGCTTGTAATCGCATTGCATGCTCGGACTCACTCAGCCTCTTAGTACATAATCGGCTCCACAGTTCGCATAAAGTGCTACTGTTACTTTTTTAATCCAAATCTAAGCCAATCCCAAGCCACTGCTACACCGTACTTGCCGGTTAGGTATCTGCGTATACATGTGAATGCGACGCTCTCCCAGCAGCGGTTGGTTAAACATAATTTAAAGTTTATATTATTAAAATAGTATATCTGTTGAATATACATTTATAGTGGAAGAAGTTCGCTACAAATTACAAAATACCTAGCCATTACATCAATAGGTATCCAATAATAATCCTAAAAATCACATTGGTTTCGCTAAGTCCCGTATTAAGCAATTTGTGGGACATGATCGTAATCTTGGCTCTTTTGCTGATTGGTTAGTTAGTAAGATTTTCATCCTAAGAGATAATCACCAACATTTCATTATACCCAATTATAGGAAGTATTCAAACGAGAATACTTACGCAGTGACGTCGGTATCACGGAAAGCCTTAGCGAATGGGTTGTTGTGTATTTTCAACTGTGTGATGTTCTCATTCTGGTAGGCTGTCACTGCGATGAAACTCGTCATGTCAAATGAAAAGTGAAGGGCTTCACTTAAAGCGGTGTTATCTTTCTTTGGTTCCTTGGTTACTACGATACATGGTTTGTATTTATGCATTGAATGAAGAAGGACTTGCTATATTGATGGAAAGGAAAATATTGTAATTAAAATATTACCAATTATTGTTATTATTTTTACTATTATTATCAACAACATCTGTATGCATACTAGAATGAAATAAAAAAGAACGTCGTGTGTTCTAAAGTCTGGCTAGTTTCAGGATTTTCATGACTGTCTTCTGATGTAATTCCCAATGCGTGAATTACCATTGTATTGGATGAGAATTTTTAAACATAGGCATATGTAGGCCTCCGTTTTCCTGCTTTTTTAACAGGGTTTTTCAGACCGGCGCTTTGGTCACTTCGTGCTTCGATCTTTATACAAACTTTGCCCAAGTTACCTTACCCTTACCATTCGGCTGCATTCGAGACGACAGTCTACCAGAATGCTCTGTCGCTCATTGCTCCACTGAGGTCTTCGAGGCTGAGTCCGGTGTCTCTGGCAATGGTGTAGGGGAAAGTGAGGGGGAAGGGGTGGCACCAGGATTACCCGCGGGGGTCCAAGGTCTCCGACGGGTGGGTGGGGGTGTCCCTGACGAGAGGGTAGATGTCCTCGAAGAGAGCAAAGTGTACGTGTAAAAATATTTCAAAGGTCCACATTTTGACAATTTATGGGTTTCAAAAGCTTATTTAATCGAGTCTTCCTATAGGCCTATGTAGATTTTTTTTCCTCCATGACGAATTGTGCTTCAACAGATAGGCCTAGTAAGTGAAGCAAGGATGTTTCCAAATTATGGAGGGTGTAGTCGGGTTCGGGAGTTTTTAAGTTGCCGATTTTGGATAGGCAATCCTTTTTTCTCCGTAAAATTTATAATTTCAAATTTTATTTATTTATTTATTTTTTTCAATATTTTGATTGGCTTTTTTTGGTCCTTTTAACTTTTATAGAATACAGGTAATTAAATGTATTTCATGTATTTTACCTTATATCATTCATTTTTAAAAGAAGCCCCCTTTTACTTTGCAAGAACAGTCTCTAAAAGAATCCCATCTCGAAAAGAAGCCCATCCAACAATCCTAACAAAGGAAGGACGCGCCCGGGGCTTCTATCCAAGGTTGTACGGTATATTAAAGATGTGCGTATTAAAATATGACGTTATTCTACATATTTTGAATATAAAAAAACAGGTAATTACACTTTTATGTTAACGCAATGTGCGTTTTGTAAAGCGTTTCAAACTAGCTACAGCTATGTTAAACACAAAATTACCATGAAATTATTTCATTAACAAGTTTTTTTCGCCCTCGATTTATAACATTACGCAAGGTATACAAACAAAAGCGAAGTGATTTTCGCTGGTTCTGGTTCTTTAGCGTAATTGTAGGGACTCTCAACATCATTTTCGCTATTTCCGCTGCTTTCATATTTCGAGTCTCACAGACGTCGAGTTAGGCTTTACGATTTTTTTTTACTTCATGATTTCTTTACTATGATTTTATTTTTCATGTATTTTTACTTTAGACTATAAGATTTTTATTTATTCATTTATTTATTTATTGTAATTTCAACATCGCTTTTTATTCAATGAGGAAGCCTATGTTCTGTTTTACAAACAGAAATAATAAGGGTAGAATACAACCCCACTCCTAGCCGTCAGCTTATTGTCGATTGCAGTTTGAACGATCCGTTGCGCACGCGTCGTGGCATTCTAAGCTCTTTATAACGATCCTCCGTTATTATTATTATTATTATTATTATTGCTATTATTATAATTGTTATTATTATTATTATTATTATTATTATTAATAATAATAATATTACTATTACTGCTATTTTTATTATTATTAATAATAATAATAATAATAATAATAATAATAATAATAATATTATTATTAATAATTTTATGTTGTGTTGTGTTTTTAAAATTGCTTAAATAAAAAAGAAAAAAAGAATAAGCTCACCTTAGCTGCTTTTGTTTCTTTGTTGTTCGTAATCTTAAGCTTAGCAAAACTGATCTCATTCTTCATCCAATGAGCACCCGAATTCGGTGAGTCCACGTGGTGCTTACTGGTGTTAGCAATCTCAGGATCGGCAAGCCCGACGGGGATCCATTTAGAATTTATAAACTTGTATCGCCTGTCGTCTTCGCTGCGAATGTCAATTTTGACGGAGTAACAAGCCGCTGGGTCCATGCCCTCAACTCGAACGCTCACGTATGGAAACATTCGCCTGAAATCAGTAAATAACATGTGCCTCTGTCTTTAAATTTGCGTAGAGCTAATTAACATTAACTAGACAAGAACAATTAAACATTCAATATTTAAATTGCTTAAATTATTTTATAAAATAAAATTAGGCTTCAATTGATCATTCGAAAAAAAAAGAAACCACTTTTCTCACCAATATTTGAGTGTATCAACAGGTAATTAATTGAAACCTTTCGAGAAAAAAAAAGTCCACAGTACCAAAACCATTTTCTTTTCTTTTTTTTCTTTTTTTATAGATCTATGAGATCTGTGTCTCATTGAAGTTGTGGATAAAAGATGGTAATAAGCCCCCCACCCACTACTCTTGGTGCCAAAAATTCGAAGTTGGATAGATAAGGATCCACCCTCCCTCATTGGACCGTAGGTCCTGTCTCCCGTAAAACAGCTCCTTGATTGCCAGCTGAGCCGGGGCCCAGTCGTGAGAATCTTAATCACGGGAAAAATTGTCTTAATAATAAAAATCACATTTAAGTTAATGCTCCTCCTCATATTTGTTCTTATTTATTTTTTCACCTTTATTCATGCATTTCTTCATACGCTTCAGTTCGCTAATTTATCATGAAATTCATGGCATTTGTTCTCTCCTATATTATAGTAGAATTTGCTTGTAAGCATTGTTACACGGAAGTTGTTACATGGTTGTCAGTAATTCCTCCATGGTCTGTACGTGTTGTATTGTACTGCAGAAACATGTTTGTATCCAGAAAATGTGGAGGAGAAAACTAAACACATAAGAATGACAGTGATAGCTTTTCGGGATGTTTCAGTTTAGAAATTAATTCACACGTTTCACTTACTCACCAACCTGCAAGTTTTTTCTTTTTTCAAACTTGCCTTTCGATGGGCATAAATCAAGTATCACCAAATATTGTTTACGAATATACTACACACGCAGTACCAGCGTTTAGGTCTAACCAGTTAATGAATCAACAATAAATCAACACATTGCGACAGTGAACTAAAAATGCTTGATTAATACTTAACTACGATTAATGCTATGCTGGTATTTTGCAGGCGTGAATGAATTTGCCCTTTTCACAAATTAGGCATATATGTATTTTTTGTTCACATGTTATAATATTCGTTCATTCATTCTGGTTGGCTAATAAAAGAATAAAATTTTACATTGCAGCATTGTACTGAATTGCGTCAAGCTATCAAACAGATATCAAGCAAAAAAAAACATTCACAAAACAAAGAATAATAATTAACAATCATACAGTATGTACATGCAAAGGTATTAAATATAAAAATTGGTTACAAAGACTAAAATCTACAAAAATCACTAAAAAGACAATTAGTATAGTAACATTAAGTTCTAATCAAATTAACTTTACAAAGTTACGATAAAATGTTATTTCTTAAATAAGAAAGATCATTAGAAGTGAAATTAACTATGGAATTACAATTGACAAAATCTAGATATTTAACTAATACAAAATATTATTATTGATGGTATCCTTTTCTATACTTATTTTAAACGAATACGAATATTTACTATGAAAATACAAGACAGATCTATGAGGCAATCCAATTGATATTCTATATGAAATTTAAATTGTATGCCTTTGAGATGATTTCCCTGATGATCTTAAAAACTCTTTTCGTGTTTACTCTTTCCACGTCTTTCACAATAAACTTAAAAATGTGTCTTTCATAATAATTCTAATTCACAAAGCATTGAAAATAATTTTGATTTACATTAGAATTACTGTATCTTAATCTTATTTATACCATTTTTATGTTTAAATATTTTAATTATATATAATGAATTTCAAATATATTTTTTTTTAAATTTCCTTAGAGTTAAAATATATTTCTGATCAATGATTACATATTTTGTTATATTTCTTTTTGTATTCCACTAGTTAGATAATTGCTTTCTGTATTTTGTTAAATGTTGTTTCATATTATAATTGACCTATTTTTATATATTTTTTAAATTTATAATTTTATGTTAAACTGGATGAGTTAGGTTCACAGGTTTTGTGTTATAGTGATTTAGTTCACTTTTTTGTTCCTGCCGACTCCACTAATTTATTGTACTTGTATTCTGTATGTATTCCACCATTGTATTGTACTTAGTTTTTTGGCAAAAAAAGAATAAGAATAAGATATATTACTGGCTTTTTAAAATGATTAAACTAATGATTATAAGGTAGAAGATTGTTTGTTTACGAAGAAGGAACTAATACGTAATACATGCATATTTTTTTATGAATTGTAAAATAAATTTATAGGCTAGGCCTATTTTGATTATAAATAAAAAGTAAGAAATAAGATTATTGGCTTGAACAGTACCTTCCAGACCGATTTAGAATCATCTCAGTTCCGCACTTGTTGAATGTCTGCCAAAGTTCGGAGTTCTCCAACGTGACCGTTATGCCGCCGACTGAACAGGACGGCGGTTTCAGATTTTCTCGTGTCGCTCCGTTCTCTTTGGCGATGTCTGCTTTATCAGCTTGCTGTACCTGGTGAGACGTCATATATTTCGGGTGAGAACTTTTGATATTTGATTTTGATAGACCTACCCCGCCGGCAAGTGAATATGGGGAGAAAGAATAATTTCGCAAAAATTCATGTTTGCGCTTTGCAATCTCTCGCTCAATGGCATCATAATTGGGAGAATGCGGATCATCATCACAGAATGTTGAATTTCGACCGATATAATAATTCTCCCTCTGGTGAAAAAATTTCTGTTCTTCGTTTAATGTCTCAGATTCAACACTTGTGAATGTGCGTCTGCCATACATCAAGTTGTTTTTTCTTAGCTTCTTTGCTCGCTGGTGGTAATACTTTTCATGACTTTCCGAAAGTTCGGTTCCCAGAATATTGTCAATCGAGAAAGGTGTAGCATCCGACGCGTGTGACATTTCACCAGCGAAAATGACTAACGAAATAGTATGACAAACATCAAGCCGGGAAAAAAACAGAATATGACGAATAATCGTAAAGCGGTTTTGTTTTATTTGAGAATACCTGCAAAAGACAATTGCATTAACTAGTTGTCTGCGCGATTATGGTGCGCAGAACGCGTTAACTCGACGATGTCTTTGTGTTCATTAGTGATCCCTGAGGGCGGGAGTTAACCACGGCTGAAACTAGACCTTATGGCGTATCATTGTATTTATATTTTATTCTACAAGTGTCATTAACATCAGTTATATTGAAATCCCCTCTTCAGATTCATTTTGAAGCCGTGTTTAATTGTACCCGCACCTCTTATGCGAACCATTCACTTGGTACTCTATCATTGTAATGTCTGATTTAATATGGTTTTATTTTAGCAAACATCATTACAAATAAAATACTAAAAGAAAAATAAAGTAGGCCTACAAACCGTGTCAGTCTCAATGAACACATCATCAAAGTGACGTCACAACCATAATTTTCTTAATTTTTCGTTTTGGCCTGATAATAATAATTACAACGTTTGGCTGCGTAAATTTATTAGGCAAACTTCAGTAATAAGTGTCCCCCCACCTGTCTCTTATACACATCTAGATGTGTATAAGAGACCGATCTCCTCTTAAACCTGTCTCTTATACACATCTAGATGTGTATAAGAGACAGTAAACATACAAGTAAGTACCTGCATCGGTGATAATATTTTAGTAGTAAAACGCATGAAGTAAAGGTATATATTTGCCTATAAAAATGCACAAAATGTTAATTTATTCACATCCAATTAGAATCATCCATGACACAACATAGGTGTATATCGATGGGATACGAACATGCGCAGTTCAAACTACGAATTGCCTTCTTGTGTGAAACTTACACAAGCATCCTAGAGATTCAATTGATTTGAGAAAACTCGTTCTTGGCTGGTATTAATGAACGCTGACATTACATCGAAGCTGTGGCATAACTGGTTTTAACTCTCACTGAACAAAGCCAGGGCCCCCAAGCCTTAATGGGGCCAGGGATACTCATCGTCATTAAAGCCGGAAAATTAGTTAAAAACATCAAATTATACGCCCTCAAAATGTCTTAAACATCAAAAGCGGGCGGGCGGGATTTCCCTTTACTCCACTAAGTTCTACTCGGGCTCAGCCCCATTGTCGTAGTAGGGTCCAAATATGCCCTAGCCTGGGCCTCGTGCTTTTTTGTTACGCCACCGGTCAATATTGGTTAAATTAACATTGAATTTCTCATGATTTCCACTCTAAATATTTTAATTGAAACTGAGGCCTACTCTAGCTACTCATGCTCTAATAATCAGCCTTAAAATTTAATCTACAAGAATGAACCACTATTCTAAAAAGTTACCATCAGAATCAGGGGCGGCGCCAGGAATTCCCCGACGAGGGGTCCCAGCTCACCAACAATGGGTCCCACTCCCCCCCCCCCCTCCACCCGGTCGATGAAATAACAGATTGTCGGGGAAAAATTCAATTTGTCGGGGAATATTTTTGAATTAAATTATAATGAAATGTTGTGTTAATCTATGGGATTCTTTATTTAAAAAGGATGTCGGAGGTACTAGTCCACCTGTCGGGGGTACTAACCCCTATCGGGGGTAGCAGCCCCCTGTCGGGGAAGAGCCGACGCACCACTGTGAAATTCCCAGACAGGGGGTCCAAGTGGGGGGTCCAGAGGTCTGGACGGGGGTCCTTCCTCCCCCCCCGACCCCTGCTAGCGCCGCCCCTGATCAGAATGCCAATCAACATAGGGCCTACATATTATGGGTCTAATGACACTCAAATCAACCTTTTGCCTTACAGTCGTTTTTTATTTTTCTTTAAAATATAAATGTAAAAATGAGACATACCATAATTTTCGACACAAGCAGCGAAAGCTAACTCAGTCATTGGGCAGATTCGCAACTCTTTTACTTATATGAATTATAAGCAGAATTTTGTAAGGCCTAATACCGGTACTTTCAATCATGGAGTACGCTGATTAAGTATATGGTCTCCATACTTACAAGATATCATAAAATTTGAGAAAGGTACAACAGCGTGCAACTAAACTTGTGCCTGAACTTACAAACGGAACTTGTCTTATCAAGAGCGTAAGATTCAGCTTGGGCTACCAACACTACAAGAAAGAAGGGAGCGTGGTGATCTCATCGAGGTTTTTAAAATTTATTTATCACACTTCCTTCTTCAAGTTAGCATCCGAATCCGGTCCAAACATAACTATAAGGGTTATCTTACCAATTAAGCAAGCCGAGATGGGAGTCAAATAAAAGAAGCAATTTATTGATTCTAGAGCTAGTAATAAATGGAATTCCTTGGGAGTCAAATAAAACAAGCAATTTATTGATTCCAGAGCCAGTAAATGGAATTCCTTGCCAGAGAGGGTCGTTAGCCAGTGAGAGAGTGAATACCTAGACAATTCAAACACGCAAAAACCAGTAGGTCCACTGATAAGTTTAAGATAACTTAGTATAAAACATACTCCAAATAAAGTAAGACTAGTCATTTGATTCAATATTTCGATCTTTTATTAGATCATCATCAGGAATTCAAACATTACAAACATATATTCCACAAACATGCATGAGAGAAGGCAACTTACGAGTTTAACTCGCAGCCTCTTAAACTTTACTACGGTAAGCATTTACTAAGGTAAACGATTTATTTCTAGCAGGCCTACTGCATAATAAAAATATTTAACATTCTTATTTGTATAGTTATTCGTGTGAGTTATCGACATTACTGGGTTAATTCCAAAAGGTTAGTGAGCCAGGGTGTCTATCAGAAATGTTCCCCGAGCGAGTTTAACGGTCTTTGTATGTGAACGGCCGGTATAGGCCTACTATTTTTATACGTCCATAAACTTGCATTGACATTTGTTCCTCCTAAATTTTAACTGATATTATTAATATCCATCCTGAAAAAAGTAGCCTAAGCATCTCAAATTGTTGAACAACATAAATAAAATTTATTTAAACGATTATTTCGTCTTTATTCTAATATAAAATTCACAATTGGTAAACAAAAACTTAAAAGCGTAAAAAGATGAAAGACATTTTGCGTGTATACACTGCAAATGCTAACACGGTTCAAAGTCTTTCAATTCTCGTATACCATGTATATATAAACATTATGTAAAATCCTATAAAGTTCATGTAACTTAATTGTAAATTAACATAGGCCCTAATATAACCCTGGTTCTGTTTAAAGAAACATTTTTTTTTTTATAGTAGTTGGTTAATTAATGTTGACGCGATGACATCATTTAGAGTTTTTGCTTTATATCGACATCAGTCTTTTGTTGACAGTAATTACAATCTAAATCACTTTTACACATTGAAACAAAATACAATTGTGAAATTAGCTATACTCAATACTAATTACATATTGAGCTATTTGACTTCACTTAGATAAGCTAAAAGCAATACATAATTGACGCTCTCGAATGTTGTTCACAATATTGTGTGAAGAAATATATCTGCTATTGTCATCATTCAGCTAGTTCTCATCAGTAGCCATCTCTTCAAATTATAGATGTTCATTGTGGTAATAAAAAACGTGAGCTTCTAATTAAGAGAGATTCCCCTTTTAATTGTCTTGGTGTTTAATTAATCACTGAAAGAACACTGATTCTCACAGTTTCGTGGATGCGTCCTTGTTCTTTGATTTGGTATTGGATAGAAATTGATAAGCTTAAAAATAATGGTAATGACAGTAAAATTTAAAATAATAATAAAACCAAGGGAGAAATTCAAATATTAATAATAATGATGATCAATAAATGATAATAATATATAGCTGCATAGACAGATTTGTATATATGTA